GTTGCTTCTCCAACGCTTGTAATAAACTCGCTGAAAACATTGCAAGAAATATCAGAACGGCTGGTGTATAAGCAACTTGAAATATACTTTAAACAACGACAAACAAAAAATGCATGTAAGTTCAACTCCAGACACGAATATAGGAATTAGTGGGTCTATCAATGACGCGAAATTGTCTACAGATACGATCACGCTAATGTTAACGTTCGCGACAACAGTGGTACACTCCGCTGCACCTCGTGTGCCCCTTTTTCATCTTACCACATTTTAACGTCATCTGTGATCTACAAGTGAACAGACGCCTGACAACATGGAATCTCTTTTTCACATAGAAATCCTACGTTTCCAGTTATCCGTACCTTTCAAAACAAGTGCTTGTACGTTACGACTGTCGATAGTGTGAGCCTAAAAGTTACAAGCATAGAATTAAAAATCAAAAGCAATAAGCTTAGGGTTATTGTTTACTGAAGTCAGCAAAAAACCAATCACTGAGATGCTGCTAACCTTCTCTGCAAAGTAGACAGTTCTGGGCTCTCGGTTTGTAGCATTGCAAAAATGGCCCATTGCAATCCATGGCTCTGGTTTAAGTTGTGTCACTTGAATCAAGTCTTTAGCTAACCTGGAAGAAAAAAAAAACAAATACACAGGTCTCTTTAAACACAATCATGTCTAATAATAATAATAATAATAATAATAATAATAATAATAAAAAATCCATATAATATCTTGTCCTAGTGGTCCAAAAACGTTTCACAGGAGGGAAATTATACATATTATTTACAAAAAGTACAACAAAAATGAAAATTCAACGTTCTATGTAAGCCGGTAAAAATAAATGTTCTTTAAGTTTCCGTATAAAAGTTTCAACTGATTGCAAGTCTCTTAATGACTGTGGGAGGGAGTTCCACAACATCGCTGAAGCCAAGGCAAACAGCCGACCACCATAAGACTCGAGATTGTACACAGGTATCTTCAAAAGGTTTTTGTCTTTTTATTTTCCTAAGGTTGGTCTTCATGTTCATGATAACTTGCCCGTTCTTTCCACAAAAAAAAGAAGAAAGAAAAACTGTGCATGAAAAGCCACATTAACCCTCAAACCCCTAGGAGTGATCAGCAGCTAAGTTCTCACCTGAATCAAACATTGAGTAAAAATAAAATAAATATAAGAAAACATCACAAACTCAAGTAGCCCTAGATTGTTGGACAAATTCTCCTTGCAAGTGCCATAGGAAATTTATAGAGAACAGTTCGGAGAACTTGTACACTGATTTAGAGTATAAAAGGTTTAGATCAAAATTTGTCAACCTTAGTGAAAGAATGATACAATTTTTTATCACCCAAATACATCAACTGTGTCACAATGCAAACTGACATTCATAACACCACTTGGTCCCAGAATATAAACATAAGAAACATAACTTGCTTTCATCAACTGAGTTGTTAAAGTAAATTGACTGCTGTAAAGAGTTTTTGATTAAAAGTGGTTGCCAATTTACATTATCCACTCAGTTGATAAACCATATTATCTCATAATATCCCCTACTGACACAGCACTACAAACTTACTGCCTTTATTCATCAGAAACATTACACTGAGTTGCAATACATACACTTTTGGAACCCTCCATTGTATATTTTTCTTACATTTACATTTAAAGGTTTCAGTTTACATGAAAAGCAACAATTCATTTAGCACATACTTCTCCAGCCTGTCACTGTCACTGCATCCACTCTGTGACAGCAAAAATGCATAAATGTCCATACCTTGGACAGTAAATGGGTCCAGTGAATGAGCCTATATTTGACAGAAATGAGAACAATTTCATCAGAGAGGGATGGGGAGGGAAGAGGTGGGAAGAAAAGGGAAGGAGAGGGATGGGGAGAGAAGGGGGGGGAGGAAAAGGGAAGGAAAGAGATTGGGAGAGAAGGGGGGGGAGGAAAAGGGAAGGAGAGGGATTGGGAGAGAAGAGGTGGGAAGAAAAGGGAAGGAGAGGGATGGGGAGAGAAGGGGGGGAGGAAAAGGGAAGGAAAGGGATTGGGAGAGAAGGGGGGGGGGAGGAAAAGGGAAGGAGAGGGATTGGGAGAGAAGGGGGGAGGAAAGATTCAGTTCCAGTCCAAAATAAACAAAAAACAAAACAAAATAAAAGCAACAACCCACAAGCACATGGGATGAGTGCTTGATCAAGGAAGAAAGCTGGTTGCAAGATCAGATGAATTGACTGAGAGTTATAATGAACATTTGCTGATCAGCCTCCTGCTTCACCATCTGTTGCCAAAAAAAAAACCTATTAACAAAATATTAGGTTCAAAACTCAATAAAGACAGGAAATCTTTAGGAAGAGAATTCAAGAAGACAGGATTAGGTCAAACTCAATCGAGGGCTTCTGTCCAGCCATCGAGGGCAGGCACACTTTCTTGTCATGTTTACATTCCAACAAATGAGCTGGATTTCAGATGTTTTTTCTTGCCCAGAAGAGTAAAACATTTCTAACAACATAACAATACTACTTTGTCAAAGACTATACATCTGCAGCTCATATGATTTGTCTGTTATGATTAGATTCCAATCAGTAAATTACCAGTTGCTTCTGGAACATTACCCTGATGTACATGTACAATGCAAACATTATGTCTGAGTTACCCTTTGGAAGAAAGACTTTGCATTTTTGTAATCTCCAGCATTGTAAAACATCTCTGCAGCATTACAAAGTAATTCCACATTATCACGCAAGCTCTATAACAAAAAAAATTGAAAAATACATCAATATCCATAAAATTAAAAATGAAGAGCACATTTGTGTTACAAATAAAAATTTTTAAATTTCCACCAGTTGTTCACCTGTGTTTCCAAGCTCTTCAGTGCTTGAGCCCCCTCTGGAGAGAAGAAACTTGGTTATGATTTAATTCTTTTTTAAGTTAGCAATTAAATACAGCATTGGAAAATTCCTTAATTTGGCAAAGAAAAAAAAAAGATAATTGCAAGTAAAATTTCCCACCACGGGTATGTGACTTGGTTTGTGCCTCTGACTGAGACATGCAAGTATCGAGGAGCACTCTGTAATTGAGTTTTGTAAAATTTAAATGTAAGTAACTAGAATGCCCAATCAGAGCACAGGAAAATATCACAAAGAGCCAGAGAAAATTCAAACAAAAAAAAGGAAATTTCCTGATGTAAAAATAGGCCTCCTGTTCATAAAAACAAACTTCCTTCATGAAACCACAAGTTTGGAAGGAAACTGTGATCATTAAAAGCAAAGCAAAGATACTGTCTGTCAAGACAGAAAAATCGACAACCATTGGCAATAAGCTCACTTGCATGCTTCCCTGACGCTGCTAACACTTGTGCCTTTATCCATGAACCCAGCCTGGTGTGCACAAATAAAGATTTGAAGATACTGTTCAGAGCCATGATAGAACCCTTTCTTTATTAACCCTTAAACTCCCAGGATCTCATCAGTAATTCTTCTTACTGTCTGCCATACAGTTCTTGTGATGTTAGTTAGGAGAATTTGGTATTGGATCAGCTAAAATCCCTTAATTTATATTTTTCTTTATTCTCATCACTTGTTTTCTTGATATTGTATTAATATTGTAAGGAGAAATTCTGTCTTGGTCATCCATAGGAGTTAAAGGGTTAATATACAAATAACTGATAACTTAACAAACTCAACACTTCTACACCAAACCAAGAACAACAAAGAACTAATTTCAAACAAATGTTTTACCAGTCCATTCCTGGAGTTGATGAGGCAGTAAGCGAAGTTACTTCAGAGCCAGGAACACCCAACGATAACAAGCCAATCACAGCGTCAAGAGCTAGAGGACACACCCTTAAATTTACAACACATGGCAATCAGTATCATTCTAAAAGGTCAGTGGTGTCTCACCAGTTAAACTCTGATGGCCGCTTCCCTGGCAATTTTTGGTGGATTAGTAATAAGTTGTGCCACCAGTACAAGTTTAAGATTTTGGGTTCAAGTTACATGTATTTTCTCCAATTTTATTGAGTCAGAGGTTTTTTTTGACAGAGAGTGGGGTGGAACATACAGCACTTTTGTATTTTAATGCAAACCTCCATATTCATGGCATTCAAATTCAACCAAAAAAAGGAGTACTTTAAAGAAAATCTACCTCAAAACTTCCTTGTAACATGAAATAGCAGACCTGTAGAACAAACTCAAAATTAATTTCATCTTGGTTTTATAAAAAGAGGTACAGTGTAGGAATGTGGTTACAAATTCAATTGTTCTAAGGCACTAATATTCCTTCCCATAGTAGTCAAAAGAGGCTCACCACTCAACCCCCCCTGGAAATATATTGGTCAAATTGTCCCCGCTGGTAATTCAAACCATACTCTATAAATTCTCAGAACTGATCGAATGAAACATCTAAAAAGTGTATTTGCTTGCTCTATGACCACCATGTCTGGATGCAATCCAGATGACCTGTGAATAGTACCTCTCCATGCCTTGTCTTTGATACAGTTTAGCCAGAGACATATTTATCTTTGGTGATCTTTGTTTCTGGGATATCCCTTCCAGCTGTTGAAAAACAGCAAAATGTTTCATTAGTTATGACAATACAAAGTCAAACTGTTTCCAAAATAGCTGGTTAAACTTCAGTGCAAAGAGGCCACTGCAATCTTGGTACATCATCTTGTGCAGAGACACAATCCAAAGATCCCACCATTGATTTTTCACCCCAAAGGAATACAGCTTCACAGTACATACTATTGTTGTTGCTTCTTTGTGTTCCTTGAGATGTAAATAACACTGTGACATTTTGTATTTTACTTCAACCTCTGACAACAAACCCTAAAAATTAAAAACAAACAGAACTGCCAAATCATACAATTATCAGCAGAAGTAAATCTTATAGAATTAATTCATAAACAATAACATGATCAAATTTTACTTTGCAATGTTAAAACTCTTACCAAGGGTGGACTTGCTTTTGGTTTGTGTTTGATGATAGTTTTCTTTAATTGTAAAGCTCTGGTATAAAATTGCTTTAGAGGCAAAAGATGCATAATTATTAAAAAATAATAATATAATAAAATTAACTTGACATGAAGCATTCCATGTTTCAAAGTCACATTATTAACCCTTTCACTCTCAAGATCTTATTAAAAATTCTCCTTACTGTCTGCCATACACTTCTTATGATTTTAGTTGGGGGAATTTTAGTATGGGATCAACTTATAATCTCCTAGAGATATTTGTTGTTATTCTCATCACTTGTGTACTGATACTGTATTGATATTGTGAGGAGAAATTCTATCTTGGTCAATCTGGATGATGGGAGTTTAAGGGTTCTTCTTTCTAATAATATTGATAAGAGAAGAGAATGGAATGTTTCACTTAATTGTGTCCAAGAAATGACTTAAACCAAGGCAATAATTACATTTATGAATGATCATGATAAAAATTTTGTATTTATTTTAACTTGCATACCTCTGCTCTTTTGTATTGCTCATCATCAAACAATGAATCAGCTAGATACACCAACAGTTGGTACTTGTTAACCATATGACTGAGATCATATTTATCCTGATTGCTATGCTCAGTTGCAGACAACAAAAAATTTGCCTGAAAATGGGGAAAAAAATCTCAAGTTATGAGTTAAAAAGATCTGTTGACATAGACATAACCGTTACACTACATTTCTTCCTCCTAGCAAATTAAAGATGAAATGAAATTTAATTCCGATAGATAAGCTCCAGAAAATGCTGAAAATTTTATAAGTGTGGGACATCTATGTGACAACGTTTATGATGCCGTTACTACCTACTAAAATCGTTTCCAAAAAAAATTTCTTTTGAAAGCGATGGGCTTAAGAAGGCTTGCACAAATAACAGTGTGAACGCTTCGCCCTCAAGCAGCTGACCTCGAACACATCAAGGATTTTAGGAGGTCTTCTAATCTTGAAGGCCCCGACTCGGTCACATTTTTTACATAGATTCGGCAAATTTTCTTATCTCCAAATCGTAGCACAAACGCAAAATCAATTAAACAGACTCACCAACATCCTAGAGCTCGAAAACAGCCCAGCTTCATGCAGAGCTTTCACCTGATCTAGCGGCACTGCCATTTAACTTATTCTGTCCAAAAGTTTCTTTGGCGATACTACAACGTTCAATTCTGAGATGATCGCGGGGATTTTAGTGAAAGAAAACTGCAAATTGTAAACTGCTTATTTTTTACAAAATTGCAATAACATTTGAACTACGCGGGACTCAATTACTCAGCAGCTTCTGAATAGAATATATGCGCAAGCCCAGGAAGCGGATCTAAGTGACCGCTGCTTATAAACCCTGCAGGCTTGTATTTTCATGGCGCTAAAATTACCAAAAGTCGGCCACAATTGAATAATTTTTTAAATTGTAAAGTAGTGTACAGAATTGGTTATTTTGTGGTAGATATGGAAGAATTAAGTGGATCCGTTATTTTACTTCTAGCTTTCCTAGTGGGAAGTTTTCTCGGCTGGTTTCTCAGAGGACAAAGGGAAACAATCAAAGAACCGGTAAGGCACGTTGAGGAAGTTTTAACGGGTTCGAGAATAATGATTTTGTGAGCATGATTTGAAAGAGGAGATGTCACTTTATATCTTAGCAATCTGTTAGCTTTTGGCGTTAATATCCAATTTGATATTGGCCTAAGGAATTATATTTAGTGAAAATTATGTTTCGTACGCGTTTATCCTGTTTCTCCCCCTGGTCTCCACCCACCCCCACCCCCCCCCCCTGCTCCCCCCACACTCACAAATGAAAAATGTAATTCAACATCTGCTATTCTTGCACAATTTTTTTTGGAAAGAACATTATTTGGTAAGTTTTTTGACTTAAACTAAAACTTAGTATATTCTACGTGTACGAGGGAAAACACTAGCACCTAAATACTTAACAAATAGATTCCAAATTGCCGTGCGTCTGTTCAGTGATAGATCACAGATGACGTCAAAATGTGGTAAGAACAAAAAAGTGGCGCACGAGGCACAGCTAAGTGTGTCACTGATGTTCTGATGTTGATATTGTACTGATATTGTAAGGAGAAATTCTTTCTTGGTCACTCAAGTGAGTTAAAGGGTTAATGGGAACATCATCTATGATCTTGTCCTTTAGTAGATCATCAGAAAGAACCAATCAAAATCTGTGTATAATTCTGCTTAACCCTTTAACTTCCATGAGTGATCAAGACAGAATTTCTCCTTACAATATTAATACAATATCAAGCAGACAAGTGATGAGAATAAAGAAAATATTAGTTAGGGGACTATAAGTTGATCCAATACCAAATTCTCCAAACTAACATCACAAGAACTGTATAACAGACAGTTAGGAGAATTACTAATGAGATCTTGGGAGTTAAAAGGTTAATGTAAATTAGACTCAAAGAGTTACTGCAGGAGACTTCAGATAGAGTGGTATGTGTTTTAGTTTGTTTTTTTATATTTTTGTAGCCAGGAATATTGAATCTAGAGGCAGTTGGTGAATACAAAATGGTTTTAGTGGTAAGACAGGATCTTGGAATGGGTAAAGGGAAAGTTGCAGCTCAAGTAGGTAAACAGCAATATAATATTGCTGTTCATTTTCTTTACATTTTGAGTGCTTATCCATATTAATTATCAGATCATTGGAAACTTGTTAGAAATTTGTGGCAATCCTGCTGGGTTTTTGGGTAATCATTTGGATCTTCAGTATGATTATACTGTGCTCAGTGCAGAAAAACCTGATTCTTTTATGTAGACAACAATATTTTCATTTGCATGTTTTTTCCATTATTGTTCAGACTCTTTCTTTGAGTCATTATGGTTACCTAGAACCTTTGCACCCTAACATCATTAAGCATGTTCTCTATACTGTTGTCAGTTGATACATTCCTCAAGGCACTGACAAGGAGAATCTGTTTCACAATCAAAAGCCTCTTTAACCGGGTGATCATTCCCTTTAATCTTATCAAGATGTGACAGTTTGATGTTATCATGTTATTCTGACTCAATGATTGAGACTAAAAAAGTACGCTTTGCATGTTGCATTGTTTCCAGTGTTGTCATGCAGCAGTTGGCCTTTGTAGACAAATGGAAACAAACAACCCAAAGGTATTACAAATATTCATCTCATCTCATTCTGTGGTTTGGACAAACTGCTATAAAATTGCACTGGCAACATTTATTATTTTGGTTTGGACACATGCAAAATGTGGTAATTAACAGCTTTTTCTGGACTAAGTACGACTTAGCCCTAATAGGCCAGTAAGTGGTCGTAGACAGTGTTTTTATGAGAAATGTGGTAGCAGGAGACAAGTGTAAATAATGTTCTCCACATCTGAACAAAAGAACTCAGGTCATCAAACTTTACCCAGCCAATTCCATGTGGTTGGCAGATCGTTTTGGTCCTCAGTGACTGAAAACATCTACAAGCAATAATCAGTATTGTTAAACCACAATGTTCAGGTTTATTTTCTTTTGCATCTTGTTTTTATGCTTCTTGTTATTTTTTTTATTGACCTGAAGCTGTTGCATGAATGGGACCAAACAGGATGTGCCAAAGTTGTTGTTAAGGCCCCAGATGAGGAAACATTGTATGTAACTTGTTTTTAAATTTGTATACTGTCAAAAAAAATTTTCATTTTCCTCTGCTGTTCATCTTGATTCTGCTCAGCTTAACATATCAGACATGTTGAACCATAGTTAATTGTAACTATGGGTTCATGTGAAGAAACCCAGATAATGAGATCCTGTTGTAATGTTCAAATTTTAAATGTTTTTAACCAGCCTGTTTTTCAATTCTCCATTATTTCAGATTGGAAGCATCTGTTCCTATTAATAATATTTATTTTGTATTTTTAATACCAACTTTGTGTATTTGATGGAAGAATGACACAATTAACCCTATACATTGGTATTCTTATTCTTCAAACTGTTCTCTCCATATTTCTTATTGTATTGACAAGGACAATTTGGTTGACAATCTGGAGCGTCTCAAATTCATGATTATTTTCTTCAGTCTCATGATCTTTACAGTTAATTCAAGGGTGATTCTGTGACTCTTAGGAGCTGAAGGGTTAACTGATGATATTTCATGGTGATTATTTCAATCTTACAGAGTTGAGCTCACACGACAAGGAAGATCTTTAGGTCTGGAGACATGTCTTATTAGAGATGCAGGCAGGACACAGATAGCTCCTGGTTCTAAGACTGTTCTTGGTGTAGGACCTGGTAAATAAATACTTATAAGAGTTCTTATCTTCCATGTGTCAATCTCAATGGATAGGATAAGTAAGGGGCCTGTGTGCTGACCTGGAATGGAGGAGCCTGGGTTCAAGTCATGGCCAAGGTGTAGTGTATTGTGTTCTTAGGAAAGACACTTTATATTCACCAGGCCTCTCTCCACCCAGAAGCATGAGTGATCAGCTGGGAAACATGATGAAAAGATAGGAGGAAGGGCTGAAACTGTGTCATTTACCATTCTTTTCATCCACATTTTTAATAATTTGTTTTCTTTGCATTTTTTATTTGTTTTTCCCTTCACTCCTTGTTCCTGTTTTGTTCCTATTTCTTTGGTGTCACTCAATACTTGTCATTCATCTCATTTTTTAAGGAAGATTTACTTTCATTTATTTCTTAATTCATTGAAGTGTTTTTGTTTTGCAGGCCCAGTAGATATAGTAGACAGAGTGACTGGCCATTTGAAGCTATATTGATAAAAGTAAATGACCTGAAACCATATTTTTTTAGCTGTAGCAAAACTAATCTCACTTGGTATAGTATTGTTGTCGCTTATTTCTGTATATTTAATGTTTTGCGGTAATAAACTTCAAACCAGCTTTCTTTTTCTGAAGTGGATATGTAATTCAAATACACATAAAACAACAGATGCTTAATTCCGTTATTTTTTAAGCCAAGTGAAGCTCATTCTGCAACCATGTAAAGGATTTTTTTTCTCTGTACTCCACCATACATGCCTTAAAATTTAATCTTTGAGAATTTTGTTCCAAATCTAAGTGTCAGAGCTTTCTCCAGTTCATATTTCCTTTCCTCTGGTCACCTTTGGACTGGAAGATATATTGATTATGTGAGAAGAGACTCATTTTTGGACAATCTTAATGGGGGGGGGGGGGAGAGTGGGGATGGAAGTCAACACATTCAGAGTACAATCACACAGGTTCCTCTCCAACTTTGGGGATCCTTGATGAGGGGATGAAATTCCTCCCCTTTGCAAAGAAAACTGACTCAAAACTGAATAACAGGCTCATTCTTTAATTCTCAATGAGCAACATTTGGGTAGGAAAAAAATAACAAAAACAACAAAATAAAACTAAATTATTATCTCATCTATATATACATATATATATAGATATACTTATAATACATATTTACAAATTTCTGCTTAATACTCGTGTGACAATTCAACTCTCAAAGTCTCGTCACTGTCTCGTGGCGTTCATTCATTTCTTGAGCCAATGTTTCTCTTCCCAGTTCAGTGGCGAGGTGAAGAACTACGTTATCTTCATCAGTAACCTCATTGACTATCTTAGTGGGCACGGGATCGTTAATAACGTTCTTATTGCGTTCTTTCTTGCCCCGTTTATCTCTTTTAGAGCTTTGTTTCGGTTTTTTTCGAAATACTTTCCGTAGTCTGGAGAAAAATCCACCCTGCAATAGAATATGAGAACGGTGATTACAATGAGACTACAAATTATTTCTTCAGTAGGACAGGAAAACACGTAAGAGACAGTGATAAACCAAGACAGATCAAGGATGGCTAACGATGAACAATATTGAGAAAGGTTGCATATGATAAGCTTGCAGAATCTTGGCCAAATTTTTCAAGATGCACAAGTCTTTAGCTGCTGTTTGTAGCCACTTAACTACTGAGCTATTGGGCTTAGAGGATCGCTACTTCTCATTGTTTAAGAGTGTTCTTTATCTTGCAAAGGAAAAATTTCCTCGTGTTCCCGAATTCTTTAGTCTAACACTGTGCTTTTTGAAATCAATCTGATTGGTTAGAGATATAAATGCGGATTTTCTAAGCTTTACCTAATGGGCTTGGATTATGTTAGAAAATGAGACCATTCTCAAACGAACTATTGGAACCTTTTTCTATTAGTTCGTTTATTCAACGGACCTTCTTAACTTTTGGTTTAAGTACGCCTTTATCTCCAAGGACTTCGATCTTTTCAGGGTCTTCAACTTCTTCAACTTGATGGTCGGCTTTGTTTATGGCAGGTTCCTCCGCAAGTTCATCGTCAGAAATCTGTGGGGTCACCTCGTGAGGCGGCTGATGAGGAAGACTCTGTTGAGGCTCGAGGTGTGTCTGATCTTGTACTGTTATGGTGTTCACAAAACCGTATGGGTCGTCATCAAACTGCGAAAGTAAGGCCCGGGAGCGGTCGATTAGATACTATAGATCTCCGCAATAGCACACAGTCTTAGGATAAGACTAGGGGGGAAAGATTCTGGATGAGGTTTTTGGTTAGAGGGGATTCTGGGAAAGTTTTTTTTTATAAGGGGAGGATTCCGGGTGAGATTTCCTCTTCCTATTTTGCGTTTTACTAATTAATCGTTGTGATTACCTTGATTTTGGTATTAAGGTACTCTATCGAAATTCGCTTACTAACAGTTTGGTTCTTCTTAGTCTAAGAGGCTTTTTCTAATTTGGGTGGCGTTGTCTTTTGCTTAAAAAGTGCATACTTACCACGTAAAGAGAACTATCATACTGCTGTTTGAGGTCACCATTCTCGGCTAGTTGCTGGACATAGGCGATCAGGTTTTTCTCGAGTGTTATCTCCTCCTGTTCGATAATTTTACTTCTCAGTTCCATTTCATCAGCTGTATGGTCCAACTCATCTATTTTTTTCCTCAGGACTTTTTTCTCTTCATTAGCCTTTGAAATTTGGCCTTTCAAAATCTTGCTTTCAGTCGCCATCACTTTGTAGCTTGCATTCTTGGTCTCCTCTAGCTCTAATTGCTGAAGAACTCCTTGCAGCCTTGCATTATCGGTTCTTTTGGTCTGAATTGTATATTTCATTTGTTCTTTCTTTGCTCGAAGGGTGTCTGTAAGTTCCATCATCTCACTGGTGTGAAAGTCCAAAGCGACATTCAATTCGTACAGGGTTTGTTCCAGTTTCTTGCCTTGAGCACACAGCTCGTCTAATTCCCTTTTGCGTTCTTCTCTCTCCTCCAACACCATGTCCAGTTTATTCAAGAGTGATAACCTCTCCTGTAAAAAAAAAAAATCAAACAGAGACCGGTTATTTTTTATCACTTGGGGGAGGGGAGGGGAAATTCGGCGAATTTTGGTTTGGTCACAATAAAATTTACTGATCCTCCCCTCCGTAGTCTTTTATTAATCCCCCCTCATTGGCAGTCAATATTCTTAAGTTCCCGAGTTTATACTCTGTTAGCGACGACTGATCCCCACTCCGTCCCCCCTGAAAACTATGTGATCCCATCCGAACCCTCTCCCCCCACCCCCACCCCCGTGATAAACAAATGACTGGTCACATGGATTGCCTCCAATTAGGAATAAAGCTTAGATCTTTTTTAGTGTCTCTGTTAATTTCAAACAATGCGTTCAAAACGCGCGCACAGTAAATAAATACGCCTGGAGAGCGTAACAATTGCGCTTTTTAATAAGTTAGCCTCAATCTGATTTCATGGTTTGTGTTAGTCCGTCAGAAATAAAAACGAATGGGTTTATTGCATAAATTTAGCTCAATGGGTATTTCTCTCTATGTACCTACCTCAGGAGTTTCAAACTCATCCGCCTGAACATATGGGGGAATAGGAACAGGGTTAAACTGGAAGCACGTGGGGGGAACTGCACTAATTGTAGGTGCTTGTTTTGGTCCTGATCCAGGTTTCTGAATGAACCCACCTCCCGGTAACTCAATCTTAACTGCATAATCTGCAGGTGCTTGTTGTGTTTCTGACCCAGGCTTCTGAATGAAACCTCCTCCTGGTAACTCGATCTTAACAGCAGAATCTGCAGGTGCTTGTCGCAGCTCTGACACAGGCTTCTGAATGAACCCTCCTCCCGGTAACTCAATATTAACTGCAGAATCTGCTGGCTGTGGCTCTGACACAGGCTTCTGAATGAACCCTCCTCCTGGTAACTCAATCCTCCCCACATTGTGGGACTGAGTATCTTCGGAACCTGTGAAAGATAAAGTAAAATATTAGCCACTCTAATATCGCTCAGTCTACAAGCCCCTGTTCGGGGATGAGCCCGCGCTCAACCACTTCGGGAGGATCGAAGATCGGATCGAGAAAACGGCGGAAATCGAGGCTTAAATCACCACCCCCGTCACATACAAACAGAACAACCAATCCCGTCCCAATCTTCAAGTTAAATAACGTGATTGTATTCTTATGCAGCCCAACTGATAAGGTGTTTGTATTTGTGTCTTTTGCCATCTTTCTCTCTCTAGCGCATCAGGCACAAGTTGGGGCTCAGCAATCAAGGGCGCAGCGACTCCCAATTTTTTTCAAACAAACAGAGTGAATGCACAGAGTTTTGAATTCCCCTTAGCTTGTTTGCTTCCAAAAAGAGATACTGTTCTGAACAAGCGAAAAGAAAAAGAAACATTTTTTACCTCTTACCCAAGAGAATATTCCCTTGACTTACCGGATTGCTCAACTTGTTTTGGGGGTAAGGTATTGAAATTTTGCGTAAAAGGATTCCACATTTTACTTCTGAAACGAAAAAAACAAAAAGCACTGATTAAGTTTCAGTAAGCGCAAATTTAAGAGGAAAGCTAACGATGAAACTTATTTTTAGAGGATGAGGGGTCTTCTAAGGTGCGGGAACATAAAAACAGTTCTGCTTTCGGAGACTACAGTTCGTAGCAATGGAGCGCGAACACAGTTTGCGATGCATCACAAAAGTTCTCTTACCTCGTTTTTTGATCTTCAGGTGTCCTCAAAAATCTCTGAAGATATTTTCGGTATGCTTTAAGACTCTTCAAATAACAAATCGGCTTGCTGTGAGTGTCGTAAACTTCTCGTAATAAACACACGTGTAGCTCTCCTCAGGGCGCAACAAATATTCACGCTATCTGTTCTGAGAATAAACACTTCCAGTTGCTATAGAGACGTTTAATGATAAATCACTTACGTCATTGAAATTTTTGGCGACGTCACCTGCGCCCGCAAACTTCAACGAAACCAAATGGAACACCTCTATTGATACATTTTTTCCTTTATCCGTACAGAATTTAGATTCAGTATTATTTCACCACATTTTAACTCTTTGATTTCACTCTTATTATATTTTTGCTTTCTTTCAAAAGGAAAGCCGTGCACATTGAAGTTCGAGATTCTACTGAGTTACAAAAGTAATAAACGAGAAGTTACACGTACAAAAAAAAAAAAAAAAAAAAAAAAAAAGTTCGAGACAATGCTCATAATATGATAAACAAACAAATAAACAACCTCTTACATAAAAATTGTTTACTTAACTTTGTAAACTTTTTGAAAACTTTTCCTTGATCTTTTTCCTGATTGGTTTGTTGTCAGACAACACCCCCAATAGAGGTCACGTGTTAAATCTGAAAGTAGAAAAACATGGCGGACCATAGAGATCTTGATCCTATATTTCCTGGACGAAATGAGGGATGTTTCCATGCAAGCAAAGGTTAATTTGTGATAGTATTGTTTGTAAATAATTAAATGATATTTAATCTTAATGCAGCTAATTGCTTTATCATACTAGGTCCGTTTCGTTTCGTGCTACTAATTTTCACGTGTATGCTGACGTTCGGATCGTATTTTTGCTTTGATATGCCGAGGTGAGTTTGTCCATGAAATTTCTTTTCCAGCGTTAGATATCTGCATTAGAATATGTTTTTTTTCTAATTGTAAATTTTTGAAATATTCAACGTAAACAGTGTACATTACTATTCAATTGCAGTGTTTTGCAAAACACCTTCACAGCGGTGAGTGTTCGTTTAATACCGCTTTGAGTTTGTCTTTCCTAAATGAGGAATTAACAAGTCAGAACTTACTGAAAATCAAAAATGATGTTAATTACCCCGAGCTTGATTTTTCAATGGCAAAACTTGTAAAAGAAAGACTTGGTAGGTTCACCTATGAACCAACCAGACAATATTTTTCTTTTTAATCACTTAGCAAAAAGATGAACTTGATATTGTGACTGCAATTTGACGGGTAAAATGGGGGTCACCAATTTGATTCAGACTTTCACACACAAAGGGCTAAGATTAGTGGTGTTTGCATGAGGAAATAGTGTTTCTCTGGTAATTTTTTGTTTTTGTTTTTGTTTTTGTTGTTGTTTTTTGTTGTTGTCTCTTTTGCAGCCTTCACATCCTAACAGCACAGGAAACTGTACAACAGTGGACGGAAAGCCAATAGACAAGATTCATAGTAATGGAACTCATTGTACTAGTGGCCTGGAGTTGACTGAAACACAATTTAATTTGCTGTATGCTATATATGCTTGGACGTAAGTGAAGATGTAACTTTGTTACCCAATAATTTACTTGAAAATGGTTATTCTCTTTTTATTTCTTTCTCTGGTAAATTACCTGATTTGCAAAGCCCTCTTTTAATGATTCCGAACTTCTGTGCTTGTTAAGGCAGATGTTGCTGGGAATTTGGAAACTTTGAGATATAAAGCTTGTGGATGTTTATAGAGCACACTTTTAAAATGTATTCATAAGCCAAGTTCTTTTTATGTATATTACTTAACTTGAATTAATTGAAGGTATTAAGTGTCCCAGATTTTGAATCAGTGCAAAATTCTTGTTGTTACTGGCTTCCCAATTGCTGAAAACCCATCATGTATTTTTGGAACACAACCAAGCTAAAATTAAGTCAAGTCTCAGGAAAATATTGTATTATTGATAACTGTGAGAGCATAGGTTGCCAATTTTTAGGTCTGTTCTCTTGCAGAGCCCTCTAGCTTTGCTTCTGCTATAGCTTTTAAGGCTCAGCTTGGTACTGCAGATTATTATGACAAAACCCCACAGGCAAAGTGTAATTCTTCTAATAACACAGTGTTTCTTATATTACTCTTTTGCAGGAATGCAATAGTTGTTGTACTAGCTGGGTTTTTAATTGACAAGTTGGGAAATCCAAGTAAGTAAGGAGGTAAATTACAGATGTTTTGAGATGCAAAACTGCAGCCAGAAGTTGTGAGCCCTTTTCCCTATCACTTATTTTAGATTTTCTGTACAAAGCATTTGGTTTTAATCTCAAAAAACAAGCTAGTGCTTTCCAGTGAACTGTTTTAAGAAGTTGCCTTCCTTTTCCCATCAAAATGTCCATCACAAAGGAATCCATGCTGATGAATTCTGTGCTGTCTTCTCAGTTTTCTTAAGTACCATCAGGATTCATAACTGTTTAACAAGTAATTACCTTCAGTTAAAAAATTAAAACCTGAGTCATTCCATCCCTATAGAATGTGTTACAGCAATGAAAGCACAATAATGTTAATTATTGTTTGAAGAGTGAGGAGTTATGACTTTTACCAAAGTGGTTGAAGTTTCCTCTCTTTTTATTCATTTCCATGGTGATGCAAATCAAGAAAGTGCAATACATAACAAAACAACAGACAAAAAAAGAACTCAGAAACTACAGTACAATATTTATGCAAATTGGTTTCCTCTTACAGTTGGTGCCCTGTTGTTTTCATCCATGTGCCTGGCTGGTACTTCTGTGTTTGCTATAGGACTGTACTTCGAAGGAGGGTCGGCCATGTTTCCCATTTTCTTATTGGGTAGAATACTGTTTGGGTAAGTTAATAGAGTGGTCTTTTAAAGCTTGCTCTAGTTTTTTCAGTTGTGATTATTTTTATAAAAAAATTGCAATAAAACATTTCTTAAAAACATTTTAAGATTGCTATAAAACAATGATGTTTCAATGTTGGCTGAAGATCATTATCAATTTAAAATGTTTGTAAGTTGTAGTCTGTATATACCAAAATAACAATGGGTGATTATTCCCTTGCTTAATATTGAAAGCATGATTGCATATATTTATTTCATGATTAATTGACTGTTAATGTGTCTATTGATTAGCTTTAGGCCCAAATAATATCTGGAAGGTGCAGGTTTGAAGCCCATCCCTTCACTGCTTACTTGGGAGAATAATTTATTTACCTATAGACAGTGTACCTGTGGATAAATGGGAGATCAGATTTAAAAAGAAACCACTCAATCAATCAAAATTAATTCTAATCATTTCAAAAAATATAAAAATGTCAAAGTATTTAATAATATTAGATATTAAATTACTGTCTTTTTGAGCTGGTTATCTAATATTGATTTATGGAAAACATGGTATTTTTCTCATGTTTGACATTTTCTTTACCACAGGTCTGGAAATGGCTCATTAACAAGTAAGTTCTAGACTTTGTATAAATTGGGATTAAATAGTTTGTCTGACTATTAAAAGCCCATCTCTATGTGGTGCAGTTGTGAGAAACTTCCCTTCTGTCTTTCAATCTATCAGAAGACCACTGAATCTTTTTCAAATTAACCAAATATAAAACTTTTGATTATTTATATAGTATTAAATTTTTTTCATGTTATTTATGTATATAGCTACATTTTATCCTCATAGTTGTGCAAAACAGAATATCTGCAATGTGGTTCAAAGGAAAAGAACTTGCTTTTGCATTTGGTTGTATTCTGGCATTTTCAAGACTTGTAAGTTCTTGCAACTAAATTTCATGTGAACCTGAAATTTGCATGGTTTTAAGGACAACTTGATAATAGCTTATGTCCATAATAGATTGTGGACATTATTTTCAGTCTGTCCAATCGTTAGAGATCAGGGTCTGTTAGTTCATTGGCTTCTTATAGCCAGAATGTTTTTTTAAATAATATTTTTATTGAGAACTAAATTGATTTTTGACTGTTTGTAACAATTTTTTGTGTACCCAAATCATATTTGCAAGTTTGTCAGAAATATTTTCACTAGATAGTACAGGTGCATGTTAGTTTTATTATCCAATCAGTTACTAAACAATTTTGTTTTTATTTCACTTTAGGGCAGTGTGTTAAACTTTCTTCTAACAGAAAGATTTAATGAAAAGTATGGTCTTCAGTGGACTTTATGGGGAGGTAATTTATTTCTTAACAAGTAACTTATGATAACCTTTAACACCCTAAGAGTGACCAGCTTCTAATTTTTCCCCACAATATCACCCCTGAATCAAACATGAAGGTCGTAAAAATAACAAAGATGATCACTAATTTAATAAGTTCTTGGTTGTTAACCAAATTCTCCATGTCAGTACCCAGGGAAATATATACAGAAAAGGAATATGCATACTTATGTTTGGGTATAAAGGGTTAATTTCTGTTAACTGTTATGTGATGCATAATACCATGGTGTTTCATTGTTTTGTACAACTTATTGATGTCATACATTTGATCACATCTTTATAGAATTCACCTTAGTTAGCAGATTGACTTTTGCGAGTTAACCAACTATTAATCTGACTAGTTATTCCATTCCAGTCTGTCTTTTGGGTCTCAGTATCTTTTAAGTTCCATGCAAATTTAGGCTATTCCAGCCAGGGACATTTTAGATAATTCCATGACTAGTTAGTTAGCCCCCTATAAATTCCTTGTTCTTAGAACATACTGAGAATGCTTTCTATATTGAATTTAATTCTGTGTGTGTAAGAAATAATATTAACCCTTTGACTCCTAAGCATCTAATTTCTCCTCGCATTATCACACTTAATGGTGACGAGAATAAAGGAAATGATCACTAGCCAAAGAAGCCCTTGATTTCTAAACAAATTCTCCTCCTCAGGACCTAAGGAAATGTATAGGAAACAGCATGGAGAATATACATACTGATGTTAGGGTGTAAAGGGTTAAACACTCTAAATGACTATTTTTTTTTTAATAAGGAGCCATCCTATGTGGAGTGGGTGTTGTCTGTGCTGTTGTAGCATCATTAATGGACATTATTGGGCTGAAGCAACTCAACAAGGTATGGCTTATAGTTATTCATTACACTGAAAATTCTTGGAAAAAGCAGTTTCAGCATTTACTTTGCAGAAAAGATTAGGCATTAGAATCTCTCTGTGGTTACAGATTCACATAATCAACTCAGTTGATAAAACCAAATTATCTTGTCATACCCCTCTATTTGACACAGAACCACAGTTTCTTTCAAAACTTACCCTATAAATATATTTGGCATCAGAGATCAGGGAATTTGCAAGCTATGTAATTTTCAGCTAAATTTCAGTGGCCTGAACTATTTTTAATTCAGATGAAAAGAATATTCTCATCTTATTTTACACAATTCTCTTGCTACCATATTGCTTAATGAAAACCTTAAGAGACTTGAAAAATACAAGTTAGGTAATAATTAGTTTCTTTATTCTTTGACTGACAGCAAGTAGAGATGGAAATTGAGTCAAAGAGAATGGTAAGTAATTTTTTACACAAAGCACGGTCAGTACACTGGTGCCTCTGTCAATTCTTTTTGTCCAATCATCTTCTGACCTCTCCTTAGTTTTACTTTTGTTTTGATTGTTGTGTTTAGAGACTCACAGACATCAAGTACTTTTCATCATCTTTCTGGCTTCTGGCATTCTGTCTAATGTTTTTCTACATTGGTGTATTTCCCTTCATTGCAAATGCCAGGTAATTTTTCTCTTCTATGGGACTGTAATTATGAAGTTGACATAACTTTGAAAGCATTTTAGAATTAAATATTAGGACCACATACAGACTGATTTATCACCTATGTCAGAACCCTTAAAATGTTACTTTGTAAAACATTTTTTACCTTTTCAATTGTCTTGCAGTAAATTCATTTATGTGAACTACAATGAAACTTTCCGCTTTACCAAGCAAGAGTCTTCTTACATTGCGGGCAGTGTGTATATGGTGTCCATGATATTTGGACCTCTGATGGGACTATTCGTGGTAAGGAAAACAAAAACTACCTCAACTCATTAACCCCTAAGCATGACTGACATCTAATTTCTCCTTACCATATCACCTCTAAGCCAAACATTAAGGTCAGGAGAATAAAGGAAGAGATCACCAACCAAAGAAGCTCTTGATTGTTTGACAAATTCTCCTTGTCAGCTCCTGAGGAAATGTTTAGAGAACAGTATGGAGAATATGCATACTGATGTTAGGGTGTAAAGGGTTCAGAAGAAATTTATAATTAATCTGTTCTATTATTGAGGTTACCAGTGGGATCATATAAAATCAACAGATACCACAACTGCAACTCTTATTAGGCACCTTCTCCCATGTAAATCTGGAATTTGTTGGTTCTGAGCACTTCCAAAATGACCTTCAGATGACTTATTGACCCAACCCTCTCATGTTTGCCCCTCTGCTGAAGTTGATTTTATGGACAAACTATGTTTATTTAGCTAGCTATAGTAAGTGCATGCAATACCTAGAACTGTTATCATCTGCAAAAGTCAGGTTTTTGAATGGTGGTCATAAAGTAGGGAGCTACCTTCTATTTATTGTCCTGCAGGATAAGTTTGGGCGTAGAGGGATTCTTATATTCCTTTGTTCAGCTTTAACAATACCAGTTTATGGATTTTTGGCATTTGCACCAAATGTTCATCCCCTTGTACCCACCATTTGGCTTGGCTTCACCTACTCAATGGCTGCAGTAAGTTAATCATTGGATAAAGAAGTTGTAAAATTTTAAATGCATGAAGCTATGATTTTAAGAATTAATTAGCTTCAGTTGGTAATGGTTCTGGTTACTGTGGTTCAAAGAGAACTACCTTAAAAAAATATAGATTTTGTCACTAAGAGCAAGCTGATATTGCTGTTAAAGTTTCTTTCTCTGCTGGTGTCAGTTTGTTTTCTACTGGCAATAACTTAAGGGTACTAGGGAGAAATGTGATGGTTGTTACAGCATGGGACAAGCTGGGATAAACATTAAATAATTAGGTGCTCAGTAATTTGGGTATTCATGCAATTTGATTGCATTTCAATTGTGGTTTGAAACGATTATTAAAATTCATAGTGTTTTCCAGTTATTATAAAATTTTGCAATACAATCAATTTATTTCTTCAAGAAGACTTAAGTTGTTGACTGTTTTCTTGTAGGCATCTCTTTGGCCATCATTCCCTCTTGTTGTGGAACAGGCAACTGTTGGTGAGTTAACAAAAACAGGAACCATTACTTTAACCTGAGCTCTTAGAATATTTTGAATAGATGTCATTCCACAATTAGCTTCCAGCCCTTTTAACCCAAAAAAATGTTCAGATGAGAGGTTTGGCTACATTGACAATGACTAAGAACCCTGTTTCATCAAAAAAAAAACGGCTAAACTTTGTTAAACAACTGGCCCCTTTTTTTTTTTCCTTTTTACCCTCATAGTAATTCTTTACATTGTTGCTGATTAGAAAGTGTTCTATCCCCCACATAGGTACTGCTCTAGGATTAACAACTTCAATTCAGATGATTGGTATGGGAATAGCTAACATCATTGTTGGAAAAATGCTTGATATTATAACGTAAGTAACATGTTCTATGTACAAACTTGTACAATGCATATGAGAACGTTGCGACAGGTTTTTGAGGTAAACTGTTAATTCTGAGACTTCTTTTTTACATATATTTTTACTAAAGAGTTTTATCCTCTTCCAACTTATGGCCTGAGGTGATTATTTCAGTTACTAACTACTCTTTTTTGACCTATTCTTGTAATTCCACTATCTTAATAGAAATATGATTAACATAATTAAGATTTTTTTTCTGATTTCAGGTCTCAATACAAATGGAAGTATGTTATGATTTTCTTGCTGGCCAATACCTTGGCTTGTGTGACATTTGCCATTTTGGTGAATATTGATGATAGAAGAAAGGTAAATGGCAGCCACTGTGATTTGATAATTCAATCCTTTAACCCTTAGAAGTGATTACTAATTATTCCTTACAATTCCAATGTTATCTTGTGAACAGGTTATGAGAACACAAAAATTTATTAGCAAGGGGATATTCTCTTGATAAAACACCAAATTCTCCCTGTTTTATTTATAAGAAACTATACAGCAGTCAGAAGGGAGAAAGTATAATTGGATCTTGAGACTTAAAGAGTTATGTTTTAACTGGTATATCATTCACATATTATAACAATGACTTTTCCTAGGGACTCAAATCATTAAAGCCTACAAGTAAAAGCATTATATCAAAAAATGTTGATAACATAATAAATTACTACATGTTAACTAGTTTTTCCTGCTCTGCTTTCCTATCTAGGGAGGTGTATTAAATCACTCACCAAGAAAAAGAGATGATTTATTAATAGAAGGACCTGGCAACAATTATGGATCAATTTCAACATCAGGATACACTAAAAAAGATGCACTTCTTTATGACTCCTCAACATCCATCAATTAGATCCAAGCAAACTTTCATAATTATCAATCAATGTGTCTTTTTGTTTTACCCTTTTTTCCTTAAATCAGTTTTCACCATTTTCCAGAAAGTTCACATAATCAAGACTCCTGTGTAATTTTGTTTCCAGTATTATATCTCCAGATTTTGCATGGTTTTATAAATTGACAGAATAAATACCTCTTACTAACCGAGTTCAAGGTCTGTACTGTTTGTTATAGACCAAATTTTTCTCCACTCAGATTTATGGCCCTATTGAAGGCCATAAATCCAAGTGGGAACAATCAATGTTCTAAAACTTGCAAAACAGACTGAAAAAACAAGGCTAGTATAATATTTTTGATATCTCTGGGTTCAAATATAGAAGGAAGATTTCACTTCAAACAAACTTTAGATTTAGGGAAGCATACTGTGAAACAAGGCCTGCCAAATTGACCAATCATAACATAGGTAATAACTCTATACAAGATTTAATAATTTATAAAAAGGCTGAAAAAATCATTAATTCTAATATTGATTTATTACAGTTTTTTATTATAAATAAAGTAGAATTTAAAATTGAGAAGAACAAGAATAAATTAAACACATAAAACTGTGTGCATCATTTTGAATTCTGCTGCAAAGTATCTGCTCTTTTTATCACATTGTGGTTTTCCTCTGAACAAATCAGGAAATGTTTTTAGCATACTTTAATTAGCTACAGGGTGTCAAAGCTTCCTAGCATCTGATTTTGTTCTGTACTCTTTGTCTTTTTTTACTCTCCACTCACAAATGTCTGCAAAGTCACATCTACTGCATTTCCAGGCTTCTTCTATTTCCACACCAACAGTTTCCCTTTCTCCTCTCCAGTATGGTAGCATTTTAATAAGCTGTGACTGTGTCCATTCTTTGTCCAAATCCATGCTAGTTCTACCAATCACTTGACAGGTTTCTTGCATGCAATACTCTACTGCTATTGAATTTAACTTTGGTATGTCAGACTGTTGGAATCTTTTTATTAGAAGATTGGTAATTTGAATGAGTCTGTCACACTGAACTCCACAGTCTCTTGCATATTGTGAAACATCTTTTGAAAGGATGGCATCTCCATTTAATTGAAGTTGTGATAAAAGCACTGAAGGGTCAGCCTTTCCTAAGAGCAAGTCATTAAACATAATGCTGTAGATCATTGCTTGCAAGGACGCCTGTCTTTGTTGTGCCTTGGATGGTAAGCTTTTCCTTGTCCTTGTTTTCAACTCTAACAGTTCTAACTGCCCCATCTCGTTGAAATGTACTTCATCAATAATTCCATAAACAAACACTCCCATGTTAAAAGGCCACCCAAAAACTGGAAGTTCTCTCACTGTTTGCTTTGCCTCAAGCAAAGCAATTTTACAAAGACAGTCCAAAAATTTGGTTGCCCACTTGTCCTCTTTAGACTCTACTTTGATCTCCACAAGGTCATATAATTCCTGTTCTGTGTGATAAAAAGTTTTAAGGCAATTAAATAATTAGTCAATGTTTACTCTTTTGCAAGACCTGTCTCAGCAGGATTGGGTATCAGATAGCAACAGGTGTTAGGATTCTACCATTTCCAGGCTTAATGCAAATTGGAATGCACTTTTTTAATATCAGAAACTTTTTTTATGATTGTTTTCATTTTTACTTAGTAACTTGAAGTAATCATTTCTTTGTTAGAAGGGCAATCCCCACCCCATTCCACCCTAAATCATGTACACCATTCACCCCCCTCCACACCCCTTGGCTATGATTAACCCTTTACACCCTGACATCAGTGTGCATATTCTCCATAGTGTTCTCTATACGATTCCTAAGGTGCTAACAAGGAGAATTTGTTTAACAATCAAGAGGTTCTTTAGTTGATGATCAGATCTTTTACTCTCCTAACTTTAATGTTTGATTCAGAAGTGATATGGTGAGGAGAAATTAGATGCCAGTCACCCTTAGGGGTTAAAGGGTTATGGCCACCCAACCTCTTCATCTCTATCCTATTGCAAGGCTACATAGTACCTCTTTCAAGGTGAATGAGTTTTCCCATCCTCATTGGCTCAGATTCTTGTTTAAGTTCAGGAGCTGTGAAGGCATACTCCATTTGCTGCTCACACCAAAATTGAGCAGTTAAATCACTCACACTTAAGTAACCACGACCACCTTTGAACTTTTCAAGAGGAGTTAAAGCCTCCTTAATCGAAGAGCAATTGATGTCCTCTCTGTGTTCAATGCTTTTGGTCTCTAGATGTAATAAAATGAAATAAGAAACCTGTGAAAATATTATTTTGACTATTATTCATGAATTTTTTATCTCTATGCATTCCCAAACCTCTTTCGTTTGAAATATCTCAAAAGTGGTCCTCCTTATTGTGTACTGTTCTGAGAATTTGGGGTTAAATCAAAGTCCATGAGTTGACTTATTCTACATTCTTATAACCTATCTGCTTGACATTGTATTAACGATGCAACAAGAAATTAAATCTTTGTCACTCGTGGGAGTGAAAAGGTTATCAAATGTATGATAGTTTGTGACAACGATTGAAAATAAACAGGCGAGTAAACATCTCCCGGAAGACTTTCAGAATTACTCTGCAAGCTGTATAGTCGACCTTTCTGACTAGAGCCTCCCTTCTACTAAACCTCTTCAGAAATATAGTGGCCTAAGAAGAGAAACGGGACCGTTAGAAAGAACAAAACCTGAGCAAGTGTAAAAAAGAAAAAGGCCATTAACTATACGAGATTTTGGCGCTATTCTATGAAGTTAAAATGGTTTTGCTTACCTTCCTGAGCAATCTGCATCATGGCGTTCTGAAGAGCTTCGTCCAGAATTTGAAATTCTTCATCGCTGACAATCTCTACCTCGATAGAGTTATTTCCACTTTGAACTGGGTCACTCTCCTCTGGAATTTCTTCCATACTTGCAAAATCTTCAACAAAAACCCACCTGGTAATCGTTGTTTTGAATTTTTTTTAATTTCTCAAATGACCGCTGACCCGAGCCGCTTTATTTCCCGCGTGTTTTGTCCTGAGGCGACTTGCTTACTCACGTCTCTTCATTCTTCGACGATTCCTTCCGGTTCTTAAGGAAATTGTGTTTTTGAAACCTTTCCGCGTTGTAAACTTGACTTTTTTTGAGGATCTGGAAAACTGATTTATTGGAGTAGTGGACAGCTGAGCATTAGCAAAATATCTTGGTGTCCAATTGAAAGAGATAGTTACCATGAACCCACCGGACCAGAATGGAGGTCATGTTAATAATCTGGACGGCGATAAAAAAGAGAAAAGGGTGTACAAAGTTGTTTTGACTGGAGGTTTGTTCCAATATTATGCTGAAATAACCGTTTAGGAGCTTCAAGGAGGCTTTGGTCGTCAATTTGAGGCCATGCACGCATAATAATAACAAATTGTTTGTTATTGTTTACCTATCTAGAAGGCGTACTTCGTTAAACTAAAAACAACAAAATTAAGCTCTTTTACCTTTTTTTACCATGAGGAGCTGTAGTTTGCTTCATACTTGAATTTTTACGAATTTATCACATACAATGCCGTGAACAGCATTGGGCAAGATTTAATCCCGTGCTTTTGTTTGTAAATAATTATCGCATGCTGGCGTTTTTATTAAATTCGACATAGGAAATCATCTCACTAAACTGAAAATATCAGAAATGTAAGTCAGTGGGATTTTTTTTGTGTGTGTGTGATTATTTTAAAGGTCCTTGTGCAGGGAAAACAACTGTTCAAGCAATGATGTCAACTTTCTTTGAAAATCTTGGATGGAAGGTGTGAATATTTTATACCCCTAAGGGAATAAATCTGTACTTCTAAGAAAATTTGCCAAGAGTGTTTGCCAAAACGGAGGTCGAGAATCATCTGGTAGAGATCTCTTCACTTGGTCCTAATTTTGATCCTGTCCTGCATAGACTGATGTAGACACCATCATTCATAACAATCATAACGCCTCAAATTTCAATTTCCTCTTCCAAATGCTCATGACATTGCATATGAAAAACCTAATTAAAAAATTGTAAACATTATAGGGTTAGCACCATAACAGTTTGACAATTATTCAAGCTCTGAAGGGCATTTTTAACAACTGGGAATTTCTTTTGTGGAACAATGATACATAAACACCATTATTTTTATCCCAGTGCAATTCAAATGCAATTGTAGATGCCTCAATCAGCGGCAATTGGAACATTTGGCAACACTGAAATGTGTCCTTAAGCTAGCCAAATGATTATGCATTGATATTATAATTCAAGTGCTTTCAACCAATAACAAAACTAGGCATCACATTTGAGAACAATTTCACTCTTCAATGACCACTAATGATTTTAACCCAAGTTTTAAAATTATAGTAAATGAATGAGGAACAAAACAGGTGAACCATTTGCATTTTAAGTACAATAGTTTGGGTTGATTCATATGTTTAGTAGCATTTCTTTTCCATTTTGAATGCATTTATTGGTGACTAAGTGTCAACCTGGTTGAGTTCCAACTTGCCTTTTAAAAAAGCATTTCTTATCATACTTGGCATTATATGCAAAAACAAATCATCAAACCTTTGGCAAATATTTACCTGTGATTATTGATTTTGCAAATTCATGTCAGAATGATTTTTTCCAAACTTGATAATTTCTGTTTTATCGCCAGGTTTACAGAGTTCCAGAAGCAGCCACTGTATTGCTGGGGTAAAATTTATTGAAAACAATCAATCCACAACTTTATTTTATTTTAAGACCAAACACACTTTTCTTCAATAAATCCAAAAATTTAAAGATCAGATGGTGTGAAAAAATACTCTATATTTCTTTTTTTTTTTTTGTAATTTAGAAATTTAGAGATCATAGTGTGTTAGAAACACTCTATATTAATTTTTTTAAATTTAGAAATTTAGACATCAGATTGTGCCACCAATAATTTATTAAAAATTTTTTTTTTGTATAGTGGCGGCGTGAAGTTTCCAGATCTCAGTGAGCAAGAAGGTGTGTAATAAATTGGGAACTTTGCTTACTATCAATCGTCTTGACTAGTCTTGTTATAAATGTGCTTATGAACTAAGGAGCCAGCCTTTATTCATCGCTGGGGTAGGGAGGGGGAGTTTGAAGGATTTTGGTCATGTTTTAATAAAATTCACATGATTCCCCCTAAGGCTTTGTGGCATTCCAATGATCCCCCTTGTCTATAGTCCATCCTTAATACTCTTTCACTAGCAACTGACCCTGCTCCATTTTCCTTGAAAACCATGTGATTCTCTTCCAAAAAATCCTCGGACCCTCCTCACCCTCCTGTGACAAATAATAAGTGGTCCTCAAGTACTGAAAGTGAAGAGGACTCCGACTTTTTATATCCTCTTTTTCTAGTGTATAACTTTCAGGAAAATTTAATACGGACAATGCTGCAGTTGGAGCAGACATTCTTTGACCTCGCTTCCACAAGCAAGACAGACACAATAGTGATTTGTGACCGAGGGGCTATGGATCCTTCATCATGTAAGTCAACTGAACTGTTACCCTACAATTTTTTTAAATTTCAGATCTCTTTCCTGGGGAAGGGAATAGAAACCTTGAAGGAGGAAGAGGAAGGGGTTCTGGGTTATGTTCAATAGTATGTGGGAACTCAACCAAAATGGAAGTGTTTAGTTCCAAGATATTTCAATTAAAATAATTAATGACTTCCAGATTGAAACAGGTTAACTGTACAAGAATTTACTTGTCACAGGGTTCATACAGGTCCTGGAAAACCTGGAAAGTCGTGGAATTTTATTTTGACATTTTCCAGGACTGGAAAGTCCTGGAAAAAGACTTCAGGTCCTCAGGAAAGTCCTGGAAATCTGCTTATCTCAAGTGATAAAGTTTTCATAATTTATGTTATAAGAAATCTATATGGATCATGAAAAGATTTGATTTTGAAATACTGGGAAATTTGGAGGCCAAGAAAAACCAATCTGAGTCCTGGAAAAGTCCTTGAAATTTGTTTCTGAAAAAGGGTACAAACCCAGTTGTCACACTTCATCACCATGACTTCCTGAACCCTTCAAGATACTGTACTATGGCAGAAAGACAGGATAATTCACAGCCAGACCTTGGCAAGCACAAAGTATTGTTGCATATAAAGTGTGAATTATTTAAGTAAAAAAGTTGGGGAAAAAATTAAAACTGAATTTGATGTTAAAACCATTATTAATAATGAGTTTTTTTTTTGTAACATTTGAATAGCCTTTAGTTAATGGTTTTCTTATAACTTTGCAGATATGAGTTCAGAGCAGTGGGATAAACTTCTTGAAAATAATGGTTGGAACAATGTGTCATTACGAGATGCACGCTACGATCAAGTGATTCATTTGGTAAGGTGCACAATATTGGTGAACCCCTGTCTATGTATCTTTGTTTGAATTATTTTTTTACTACACACTGTTCTGCAAATCCAAGCTTTTTCTGGTTAGATAGAAGATTCAAGTTTCTCAGCTGGAACTGGGATTCATTCCTGTCCTGAAAAATACCTCTTTAAACTTTTGGCATCAATGGACCTTATTATTAATTTTAAACTTTTGGTACTTCAATTCTTGTGGGATGCAGAAATCAATTAAATTTCTTGTAAGTGATTTGAAGCATGTAGTCACATTGATAAACATTCAGATTTAAAAATTAATATTTAATATTGATGTTTTGCAGGTATCAGCTGCTCAAGGAGCAGTAGAATTTTACACATTAGCAAACAACAACACACGAAAGGAACCTATAGAACAAGCCAGGAAATTGGACAGACTAACACAACAGGTCCAGTTCACACCTTAATTAACATTTTACTCAAATCTGCATTGACATGAGATTCAGTCAGATTTTAATTTCTCCTTACAGTATCAGCCTTGAATCACAAATTCTGATCACAAGATTAAACAAAATGATCACCAAAGAAATAAACTCTCGATTATGAAACAAATTCTCCTTGGCAGCTCCTTAGGAAGTGAATAGAGAAGAGTATGAAGAATATGCATACTGATGTAAGGCTGTAAATGGTTAAAAGGGATTACTGCATCTGAACAATATTTGGATGGTGGGGAGTCACCTTCAGGAAACTGCTCAACTAGATGATCGAACAACCATGACAGAAGCACTTCTGATCAACTAAAGGCTTCAAAAATATCAATATTTTATCCCCTTGTATCAATTATGAACAATAAAGTACTAGTCTAGTAACTGATCAAGTGAAAATGAATGACCCAGCTGGATTGTGGTTTGATTCAGCAGGATTAGGGTTGAGGTAAAATTGCTTAAACTATAGCAACTGAGGTGTAAATTGAAGAAGAGTAAACTTTAAGCTTATTTTTTTTTCCAAAACAGGCCTGGGTTGGTCACCCATACGTTGATGTGATTGAAAACAATATGGACTTTAGTAAAAAAGTGCGGCGGGCCATTGATGTAAGAAATTTATAGTATACAGATTAGTCAACATTGAAAACTCATTTTTAGTAATGACTTCTTATTTATGTGTGAGAGGTGAACTAAATGTAAACAGGGTCAGTTATAGGCTGTTTTTACTAAAGAACTTTGATTTTTAGAGTTAAAAATCTAACAAAAAGCAATCTATTTTGCAGGCTGTATGTTTCAGAATGCGTATTGATACTGGAGATCGTCTGTCCCCAGAGAGTGTAAAACGCAAATTCCTTGTTACATCTCTGCCAGATGTCAAGGTAGTATTATGCCCTTTTTATTCCTGAATTTACTCCAAGGGTTGTTGTGCTACCATCAAATATCTTCTATAAGGAGTTGATTAAGCCTTAAATCATGTTGCCCTTATGTACTCATTTTGTTTCCATTTCAGCTTGAATTGATTATTGTTTATTTCCCTGTAGGCTTTTCCTGTGTTTCAAGACTTTGATGTGGTCCATGACTACCTTTCAACCTCAAATCCAGAAAAACAAGCACGTCTGAGAAGAAGAGGACAGAATGGTAAGTTTGTCTTATGGAAAATTTCAGACCCCTGCTAAATTTTCAAAACCACTCAGCAGAGAAGATTTTCACAAAAACTTTTCTCTTTTATCCTTCTTTAAGACCCTCCCCCTTTAGGGAAGTGGCACTTTTTCAAAATTCAGGTGAGGTTTGCAGCATGCCACTTCACAGAGCATCACCTTTCCTTCAGAGAAAATTAAAGGCTTAAACTGCCCACTTACCCCTCCCCTAACACAACATTAACCCTGACTTGTTAGGTTAGGGGAGGGGTAGGTGGGTAGTTGCCCAGATACTGATATTGATCCAAATTTCTTACCTTTCATTAGAATTTTAATAACTTCACTCTGCTATCACTAAACCCAATTTCAAATAACCCCCATTCTGGAGAGTGAACAAAATCACACCTGCTATCAAACTCAGGTGTTAAAATGGATGTCCAATTTTAGAGCAAAAGGTTATCTCTTTTCTTATTAATTTTTGTCAATTGTCATTCTATAGAAGGTCAAAGGTTAACCTTCAGTTAGTGGCTGAAAGTTGAAAAATCTTCCTTATCTAGAAATATGACCACAACATTAAAAATTATCATCACTCATTTGAAATTATATTTCTTTTAGGTCATTTTACATACATGCACACATTACGACAAGAAACTAACGTCAGCGGCCAAATTGTAGAAGTCAGAACAAATTTATCTTCCAGAGATTATGAGGTATGGACATCAAGTTACAAAATTTCTTGTGCATTATTTATTAACAGGTCCTGAATTTAAGATCTCCGTGTTTATATAGCTGTGAAAATTTATTTCTCTTCAGATATTACATTCTCAATATGATCATACTCGGCAATCTGTTTATAAGACCAGAAGATGTTTTTTGTGGAAAAACCAGTACTTTCAACTTGATATCTACAATGAGCCTTGTCATCCAAGGTAGGTTTGATTCAGTACACAAGAAAAGTCTTTGTAAAGTTCTCAGAGCTACCTTAAAACTTTAGGTTGGCAAAAACCTCCAAAACATACTTGATATTTGCTTTTCTATTATCTTTTCACTCGTAAGATTTCATTTATGTTGTAGTTCTGGTTACAGTCTGCTATACAATTCTTATGATGTTAGTTGGGAGAATTTGGTATAGGATCAACTAATAAACCTCTTGTTGATATTTTTCTTTATTCTTATAACTTGTCTGCTTGATATTTTATTGAATGTATTCTAACAGTTTATTGGGTTGGCTCTACAGGTGTAAAGGGCTTCGAATCCTTGAAACTTACACCACAATAAAACAAGGTGACTTGGAGTTACCAGATTTCCTGGATATTGCCAAGGAAGTAACAGGGGACCCAAGTTACTCCATGTTCCATCTATCTTTAAAAGAATAGTCATTGTTAGACTGCATGAAAATACACACAAGTTACAACTATATTTTTCCTTGTAGTGGTCAGACAAATAACTGACAATGCAGCTACTGTTAACAGGATCATTTGAAGGAAATTAGCCCATTACTTCACTTGACCCTTAAAACCCTAACATCAGTATGCACACTCTCCATAGCATTTTCCATAAATTGTGGCCTTTAAATGTGTGATTCAAGAGTGATATTGTCAGAAGAAATTACTAGATGCTAGTCACTTAAATGAGTCAAATGGTTAAAGGAAACAAATTGTGATTCCAAATAAAGTTGTTGGTGCCAATCAGATTTTAGAACCAAAGCAAGGAAAAATAAGAGAATTTAGATGAGATTCATAGATTGTTTCCTTTAATTGGATTGTGTGTGACATGGTAACAGTAGTTGCAGTATTTGATCGAGGGGTTTTTAAGGCAAGTACTTGGCATTGAATGCAGAGCATAATGGTGGTGGTGGTGCATGAGTGTGTGAGTGCGTGACAAAATTTGTGTTTAAAAGAATAACTCATTGTAACTGAAGACCTTCAAATTGTAATGAGAATTTTAAAGAACTGTCTCATTACTTTGGTTGATCAAAGTTATAATTATTATTTCAAGAAGGGGGCAAGTTAGGATTTAAATCAGAGTTTCCAAGCTTTGATTTTGGAGTTTTAAATCCTTTTCATTTGCACCTACAATTAATGTCTTGACTAATTTTTACTTGACACTGGATAGGTATTACTCTGACCAGAGTTGGGAGAGAGTAGATTTTTTTTAATTATTAGGCAACTATAGAAGAACAAATATATGATTTTAATATATCTCGATGTATTTAATTTTTTTTAGCATAGTTTAACCTCCTTGGTGTGAGTTCAATTTAATGCAGATAACCTCTACAATGGTAAAACAATTTATCAGTAATCGTCAATTGTGCGGCACCATTTTGTTGTCAGGGTGTGAAAATTTATGGAGGCAGTCTCTGTCAGTATTTTCTTTGAATGTAAAAAATTTTGAATAATTTAATATGGAAACCCTTCCTGAGCCTGAAGAGGGCAGTTAATTTATAGGTAGACATTCTTTTATAGCCACTTATTACACACTGAAGTAGTTTAACTCAAGTTAACTTCAACTACTATTTATCAATTCCATTTCAGTGTGAAGAGTAACTACTTGGTATAACTATAAAATAGTTTGCTTCAATTACACTCAAAGACCCTTTTTTATCAGTGCATTCAGTCTGAGACAAACCAATTTTGAGAACATGTTGAGAATGTTTTCAGGCTCAAATTGCAAAAAAATAAATAAAGTAACACTTTAATAGAAAGAATATTCAGCATCAGCCCCAAAACTAGACCTCCTTTTCAAAAAATGTGTCAAAGGTATAAATTGCAGTGAACTTAAACCAAAAACCAGCTTGAGTGGCGAGAGCTTAGCACCTGAAAATGCTTCCCCTAACACCAACCCACTCCCTTTCTGCTTTTGGATCTTTCAAATATTTTGGCCAATATCAATTAGTGTCAGCAGTAAATATCAGTAATTAAAACTTTGTGTAGGTAGTAAAAATACTGAGAATGATCTTGACATAATTGTGTCTTACAGGTGTATGTTAATTAATCTGAACTTAGAGTGGAAATTGATGTCAAATTACTTTTGTTTTTTGTGTAGTAAGAATTTTTATGATTCTTGAATTATTTACTAGTATTTATTATCATAATACACCAGAAAGTCTTAACATTTTGTTGTATTGATTATTCTTACTTATTTTCTGGTAAGGGAATGAGAGGGAAGGACAGGCTGAAGACTTGTGATCTAAATGGTTGTGCTGAAACAGAAGAGGTCATGTAATCAGAGAATGAAAAATGGCTTTCTCACATTTATGTTTTGAGTAAGCCTGGCAAAATCACAGTCAATGACCTAAAATGATCCCAAAATGATTTTCATGAAATGCTATACCTATAGACTGTCAGAAAGGCTTTTGTTTTCAACTTCTCATATTTTCTGCCTTTCAGTTCACCTTTTATTGATTTCCATTGAAAGGTTACTTCATTCATTCCATACCCAAGTGGAAGAGCCAAGTGTCTATAGAAGGGACTACCAGAGAATAAACTTCTGTACATAATATTAACAACAACAACATCAATGACAAAAAAATCACACTCAAATCATTTAAGTGTGAAAGGCTTTATTTTGAACATGAAAATTAACAAATTCCACTGTTTTCATCTTTACAAGTAAAAATCCGCGGTTTCTATTCCAGGTTCCTCACAATCTGTGAAGGGGAAAATTAAATTTAATAAATTGATAAGACTCTACAGACATGAGTTCTTCATTGTTTTCATAAGTTGTGATGATAACAAGATAATATAATAGTTATCCTGTTCAGTAAATTTTTGGCAATGACGAGGAGAATTTGTCTAATAATTAAGAGTTTCTTAAGGTGGTGATGATATCGTTTATTCTCATGCCCTTAAGGTGTGATTCAGGGTGACACCGTAAGGGTAAATTAGATGCTAGTCAGTCTTAGGGGTTAACCCTTTACACTCTAAAATCAGTATGCATATTCTCTGTACTGCTCTTTATACATTTCCTACAGTGTTGACTAGGAGAATTTGCTTACCAATCAAATGCTTCTTTTGTTAGTGATCATTTTCTTTATTCTCACAACCTTGATTCAGGGGTGATAGGGAGAAATTGGATGCTAGTCACTCTTTGGGTTTTAAGTGTTAATGGGTTAAAGATGAGGACACTTTTCATGCATGGTTGGTAAAACATACCTTTGTACCACTACTGCCCTGGGGCTGACAGACTCTTGTCCATGAACTTTCTCTTCACAAAACACATCCACCACTAAAAAAAGGATTCAAAAGAGTTTTTAACAAAGGTAAAAAAAGAAAAAAATGAAAAACCTCAGTAGAGCAGAGTACAAAGAGGTGGTAAACATGTCAGTTTTTGCTACCTTCTTTCACATACATTTCTAGGTTTTATGATATTTTCCATGACCTTTGATTAAAAGCATTTTCAAGGATCTTATTCCTTGGATATTTCTCAGAACTTTCCATGATCCATACAAGAGCCATAACATTCCTGGCCTGGATATTCAAAGGCTTCCTAGGTTTATCACAAATTCTACCAACCCTCTTCATGGTCATGCCTGAGAACACAAACTCTAGCTATGACCAGAAATAATGCTAAAAAGATGCACTAAACTGGCACACCTTGGATGGTTTATCTGTCTGTGGATCAAACACAGCTTCCACTAGTCTCTGGCCAAGTTCTTGTCTCAACTGTGTCAAGTATGCCCTCGTAGAATCTTAAAACAAAATAATATTTTAAAATAATATTAATTCCACATCATGCTACTCACAGAGGTAGGAAAAACATCATGGCCCCAGAAGCTGATGCTTAGAGTCAACTAAAACAGACAAGTATTTCAATGAAAAATTCATTTTTTCCACAGAGCATGGACATTGTGATGTGACAAAAGTTTGAGTCATGTTACCTGCTTCAGCTTTACTACTTGGTTTTGAGTACATAGCATTCAGTGGAAACCCATTGTCTCCTGGAATGACAAAATTAGCCATTGCTAAGGTTGTCATCTCCTTTTTACCATTTTCTTTGGAAGAGCACTGAAAAAAAAAGTTATTTAACTAGACGCATATACCTTAAAGGTATTATAATTTTAAGTCCTCAAAAAAGGCTTTTTGGTGTCGAGGCTTGGCTTCATTCTAAAAAGCTTTTGAAGCCCCAGCATGCGTTAAAAATTTTAATTTACTGTCACTTATCAAAACTGCTGATCAAGTGATTTTGAATGCTAATGCAACTGACAGGAGTCCAATTCTGTCTGCAAGTAATCTAAAAGTAATCAACAAAATTGGACGACTACAAAGGTGGAGTTCAAGTTGTTAATTAGGAGTATAATTATAGACAGAATTGAACAACAAGAAAGTCTTGTTACCGATTAATCAAAACCATGACAAAATTTGAGAAACAAACTAGCCATTGGTTACACTCTTCCATAAAAAAAAAGCCAACAGTGATTAAATGCTGAGTGGTGAGGTCATAGAGAACTCCGTTTTCCTTCCATTCAAATTGGCAAAATCTAGACTTGGTTAATGAGAAGTGTCAGCATACCCTCTGAAGCTTCTTCAAACATTCTGTGATGTAAAGTGTCAGGTAAATCAAAACACGATCTGCCTCAGACTAAAGAATGAAAAAATTCAATCAATAAATTATCACAACTGTTATGTAAACCTCATTTAAGCGCTACAAAGCTGAAGGAGCCGTGTTGTTTGGCTGGTAAGCAACATTCCACTCAAGATGACCACAAAACCTTCATAATTGGTAAGCATACCTTCCAAAACCATTTACAGGCTAAAACATCAGAATATAGAGTCACTCTTTTGACTTTGTTGTCTAAAGCACATTAATGGGTGGGTTTCAGTGGCCCTGTGCCCTGAACTCAAATATTTTGGGTTGTGTCAAGTTCAAAAGACCAAACTATTAGGGCACAAAAAATATCCTCCCCCTTCAGAGGATCTACACCTTTAATATCATTTCAGAGGCACATATCTGCATATTAAACACACACAGCCCACAATTCCTCTACTTGCTCTAACAAAGGGCCAACCTCTCAATATCAACTATAGAAAGTTTTTGCAATGGCCAATTTACATCATCAACTTAGTTGATAAAGCCAAATTATCTTGTTATACTCCTCACTGATGCAGGCACTGCAATTTCTTTAAAAACTTAACCCAAAAATCTATCTCAGTTTTGGCAATTAGGCCATAAATGAAGTAAAAACCTTATCATATGGTGGTAGGATGGCATTAGGACACTATGCAGAAGAACAAATGGAAACTTGAGTTAAACTTGGGACAATTCTCTTCTTTTTTTCTGATAGAAACACTTTCATCATGGATTCCTGTGAAGCACACGGTCAGCTGGCTCACAAAATAAATCATGAACTGTACATTTCACTTCTGATTCAATGCACTCATTTAGGTTGGTATGGAATGGATTACTTTCCTTAAACCTTTTCCTCAAAACCCATTCTGGTTGAACATACCACCGTACTTAAATAAATACCTTGATCTCATAGCTTTTGAAGAAAACGTTGGCTTTGAAAAAATAGATCGCTTCTTCTATGATATCGGGATTTCCATCTGAAATCAAAAAGACATTGACAATAATCGCATTTCTCGATCAATCCCACATAAGTTCGTCGCGAATAAAACATACACAACAAACTCAAAAATCAAAATTGCTCAAAATCATAGCATAGCTGCAATAAAAAAGATTCGTAAAATTAAATTCTTAGCAAATGTAAGAGTAGGAAAAGTTGTATGTGGTACCTCCGGGCGGAGCTGGGCCTTTGAACTTCGTGTTGATGGGAAGCAGCGCCATCTTGCACAAGGAATTAGGCGCAGATAACGACGAGTGGTACGCCTTTTAAAAGAACATGGAAAAGTTTAATACAGCCTTGGTCTTTTCAAAGCACTATCATGCATCTGCAACCATAAACAAGCTCTTACCGGCATTTTAAAACGTAGAAATAAACAGAAACAACTCTCAGCTTTGAAGAATCCAAGAGGAAGTGAACTCCTTTGACGTTTCCAAATATGGAAGTGCTATTATATTAGTTCCCAGACTATCAACCGAGTGGTGTACGATTGCATATGCGTTTCTTTCCTATTTCGTTAAAAATTTTGGGTATTTCTAAAAAAAAAAAGGAAGGCGGGATTAAGCTAAAGAATCGAATAATAAATGAGTAATTTTAATTTATTAGTGCCTGGAGTATGGCCGAACAATAAATAAAAATAAAGAAAGCTGCGGTTATCGAGATTTTACCACCCGACATAAGCACTACCAAATATTCCCGCCAAAATTTAGCGAGCACGCTCGCACGCGTTTCCTAAACATTAATGACAGTCATACTCGTCTGTCAATTTGTTATTATTTCAGGAATTCAAACATGATTGTTTAAAAAAACGGTTCTTTTCGTCAAGCAGTAGTCCAGTACTTCATCAATTAAAGTTTTTTTGCGTGTCAAAATGTTTAGAAGCAGGATTTTCGGTACCCCGCCTGAACCTGTGTTCAATATGAAGACGGCATGTTTGCCACCAGAGTTACTAGAAGAAGCGTTATATGCTCTTGCTGCTGAAAACGAAAAAAGTATGAATAGCGCCAATGGCTTGCAAGGCTTTTTCAAAGGAGGGAAAAATGCAGGTAACGCAACGGATGTGGACTTTCGACTTAAGAAACTACCTACCATCGTTCCCTTTGAAGTGAATGAAAATCGCAAACTCACGTTTTATATCATTCGTGTTTTCCAGAATATGTTTTTCTCCTCTGTGAAGAAATGGGTTTACCGACTCAAACCCGCTTTTTAGCAATTGAAATTTTTGACAGGCAAGTGTTTGTTAAAATTGTCCGGAGACATGAATTTATCATTTCTCTTCAGGGTGTTAAACTTCTGAATCATCTAACCAAATCTGTTTAATTCTCCCATAGGTTCATGGCAAAGCATGTTTGTGATCTTTATGATTTAATACGTTCAAATTCTGAGACAAACCTACAGAGAAACTGGAAAGAAGTGGAGAACAGAATAAAGACTCAGCTGCCACTTCGAGTTATGTCTTGTGTGCAGCTTGCGAGCAAACTGACTTCACATTACAAGGTATCAACGCAGAAATTATTGCAGAGACAGTATATGTGCTTCATATTAAGTACAGTTTGAAGGCCTTTTCTCAAGTATCACCTTAAAAACCGCTTGATTTTCTTAACAGATAATAAAAAATATATATTGACACCACAAAACTTTTTCTTGATATCTCTAAAAGCTCTCCAAAAATATCTTAATTTTGTTTTGAAGATAATCAAAGTTTGAATCACCTGAGCCAACATTCTCACTGGTGGGAGTTGAAATCATGAAAGAGATTATCTATTTAAGTATGCTTAAATAGTAAATTGTCTTTGTCATTTTTAACACAGGCAATAACCCCTAGCAAAGGTCAGAGGTTCTTGAACTCAATTGGTCATTGTTATACACTGGGGAGTATAGTAAAGTCAGAGTTGCGGATTCTGCAGACTCTTGACTATCATATCTTAATCACAACACCCTTAACATTTCTGGAAACTATCCTTGAGATTCTTGGTAAGTAAAATAAAAATATCAAGCTGAATCAAGACTTTCAGGTTGACTGACTCAGAGACTGAGTGGCAGAATAATTGACTGACTGATGTACTGACCCACTTAGTACATTAACCACTGACCCCTAAGAGTGACTAGCATCTAATTTCTCCTTACAATATCATTCATGAATCACTCAAGAATAAACTGACAGACCCACCATCTAACTGATTCAATGGCTGGTCAACCCACCCTCAGAGAAAATTTTATCATTTAACTGCAGCACCTCTGAAAAACTGTTGCATTACTCAACTAGGACACAATGACACACAAGCACAAGTAAAATTACTTCATGATGCCAGTGTTAAGCTCCTTGACATAGTCTACCTCAAGTTTGAAGAAATCTACAGCAAGTTGTGTATGGCTGCAACAGGAGAGAGTTGTGTTAAAGATGGCAGACAAAGCCTGGCAATCATTAGTAGTGATCTCATGTTGCTTGCTGTTTCAGTCATTGGGGCTGCATCCTACATTGTGAATCAGACAACAAGTGACATGGTAAATAAACCCTTTAACTCCCAAGATCTGATTGTTAATTCTCCCCTCTAGCTGCTACACATTCCCTTGTAAATTAGTTATGAGAACTTGGTGCTAAATCTAGATGGCAGCCTCTACCTGACAAGTTTAAATATTTAAATTACCTGTTTGCTGAGTAACATATGGATATCATAGGAAGAAGTTTCATGTTAATCACTACTGGGAGTCAAAGGGTTAAGAGTCTACTTGCATCAGTTGTGAGCCCTCTAATGGGAGTTGTCTTTTTTTTTTCAGATATTGTCGACTGTGTTATGTTTGTATCATTTGTTTGTTGTTGCTTTTGTTCATTTGTTTTGTTTAGGCCATGGAAGAGGAAGAGACAGAGAAGTTTGGTCTCTTCACTAAGTATTTGGCAAAATCCTTTACTGCTTGTGCAACTCAAAAATGGTTTCCATTAATTTCATGACCAAACACTCTTTTAGCTCATTGGATTACACATCTTTATCAGCTGAAATAATTTTGAGACCATTTTAATTAATTAACTGCATTTTTTATGCATTTATCTTGAAGACTTCAAATGAGTTTTTTTATCATTCTGCAGGTAATAGAGCAACTTGGTCTTATCACTCAGATTCCAGTGGATGATGTTTTAGACTTTGCCACAATAATCATTGAGAATACATTATAATATGAAGATGGAGATTAAACCTCATTAATTTTCAAGATTACAAAGGTGGGAGAAAGAAGAAGAAAGATACAACAAATATATTGATGAAAAATACCAAATTTAAAGTGCAAAACCATAATTTCTCAGCATAACTTTTTAGTTGACCATCAAAGCTACCAAAAAAACAACTCATTGGAGAAAATCTTTATTTATGTACACACATTCCACTTTGGTCTTATTTTAAGAACTTCCAAATATCACCTGAACTATACAGAAGGAAAATATTCTCAGGTACACTTGCATTCATTTTCAAAAGGTCATGGTACCTCTTTCAAGTCCCTTGTACCAACCAACCAAAAGCACCCCATTGCCAAGAAATTGACTTACCAGTAAGAGTAAGGATAAGAAGTATTGTAATGATAAAAAAAAAAAAAAAACTGTTGCAAAGGATAGCAGAATAATTGACTCCAAATCATAAATTGCAAATGTTCCTTTGATAAAGGTGTACAGAAGACAGTCAACCACAATGACAATTTAGATATGATGTTCCTTGTAAAACATTTTCTTCACAAAAACAACTGCAGTATTCATTTGAGGAAAGCTTAATGTAAGCTGTTTAACTTTTACTCTGGTTCTCCAATAAATAGTAACCAACATTTTCTGTCTTATCTCTTTTCTTTTTTTATCTTATAAATATCATTTCTATCTTTTTCTACAAAAGAAATTAAACTTAACTACTATAACAATGTTATTGTTCTTGTTCCTCACTGGGAGACTCAGTACGAGGTCTCTTTAGAGCTGGACAGTCAGTTCCCTAAAAGCAATGAGAGCAAAAAAATTAAAAACTCAAAAGAAAATCATTTAATCAATTATTTAAAATAAATGCACTTAAAATGCAAAGGCTGATGGAGGTATTTTCTGAAACACATTCATATGTAGATACAATTGACTGTGAGCAGCACCAGAGATTTGTAAATTGAGTTGAACTTTGATAAATTCCCTTAATATGTAATGGTCTCTGGAGAAACAATACAAACAGGGAAACATCAGTCTTTTAATGTACAGATAAATCAGTTTAAGACAACAATGACAATTTGTTTATCTCAAAGAAATAACTGATTTGTTATCAGTTTTTAGAAGTGTTCCAACATTTTCCAATTTCTGGACAGAAATCGTTTCCATAATTGGATTCATCTGTAGGCAACAGTGTATTGTAAGTATTGAGACTACACACATCCTAACAAGTGTATTTATGATGCTTAAATGTCCTTACTTCCTGGTTGCTATCTTGCTCAAACATGCTTGAGATATCTGTTGTAGTTTGAGACGGTATTTGCTCAGCCTCGTTAGATGGCTCATCTCCCACACCCATCAGATCTGTTACTGGTTGTAATGAGCTATCATTTGTGTTCTCAAAGTCTGTGGAGTCCTCTTCATCTGGGATCATTCCCATCCCCAGTCGATATGAAATGGTGGCACTCTCTTCACTAAGATAAATGAACAAATAACATCATGTCATAATCAAGGTGTTTAGTTGTTTAAGTTAAGTTAACTGTCATGGGATGATTGAGTCTGTTGGAATTTTTTTCCTTTCGTATTCTTCATCTTGCTGTAGGAAGGCAAGAATCTACTTTCTGATAAGAATATGGAGTTGTTTCAATGTTATAGGTAGCATAAATTTGGTAGAAAAAACAGTCACTTTAACACCAAGTTACCTTACAATGGAGGGCACAAGGTTGCTTTCATCTCCTTCATAGGTATTTTGGGTATCCCCATTACCACCATCATCATCATTATCATCATCATTTTCCTCTTCATCAATTTCATTATCTTCATTTTCATCATCCTCATTGCTCACATAGCTATTGTCCACTTCATTGTCATCATTATTGGCATCATTCATGCTTAAGTTGCTGTCTTCATTGATATCAAAGGCACTGCAAGAGTTGTCATCATTACCAAGACTTCCTTTGTCACTTTCCTCATAGTTAACTGCAGCAAAAAATATATCAAGCCCAAAATGTTAAATTTGTGTGATTTCCTAATGAAATATGAGTTTGAGTTGGAAAACTCCATGAATATTCACACTTGATTACAGGTAACATTGCTCAAGAAAATTACAAACTGGCTTAGTTAACCCTATAAACCCTTACATCAGTATGCATATTCTCCACACTGTTCTCTATACATTCCTTAGGTACTGATCAGGAGAATTTATTTAACAATCAGGAGCTTCTCTAGTTGGGGATCATTCCCTTTATTATCATTATCTTGGTAAATGATTCAGCAGTATTACTTTAAGGAGGAAATAGATGTTGGTCACTCTTTGGGTTTAAAGGGTTTACAGATGATAGCAAGCATCTGACCAGCATGTTGAGGTTTTGATTTTAGTCTAGGACTTAAAACTTATAACTTAAACAGAATTCCCTCAAAGACATATAATAAAGAAGGGCAGTTTAGTTTGTACCTCCTGCCTCTTCTGCTTTCAGGAGCTCCTCAGCCTGACTTGCTCGCCGTTTGATTGGACTTGTGCTTGTTGGAGGACCACTGCTCTCCCCTTGTGATGTTTTGTTACTACTCAGCTGTAAAGGATGCACTGGTTGAAACTTGGTTCTGACAGATGAATCTGTCAACAAGTCCACAGACTGCTGCTGAGATGAACTTGGGGATGATGCAGCACTGTCATTAGTTTCACCAACACTTGAGCTAACAGACTGATTGTCTCTGTCTCTGTCTCCCTCATCTGGTTGAAAAATTTATACCATTTTGGAATTGATTTGCAAAGAACATAAATAGGCACTTTCAAAACTTTTAATTAACTAAGTGAAAAGGGTAACCAGACAGTTGTAAACATACAAGCAAATCAATGTGAAAGAAGATCAAACAGAAAACATTGTATTTTTAATTCAACCACAACTTTATTGGAATTTTTCCAGTTACCACTCAAGTTTGAACAGCAAAACACACAAACAACAGGGTTCCAATGGCAGCTACCTGTCTGTAGCATTTACACAGATGCCACTGTACTCTTAACATCTAATTCACTTCAAATTTGCTCAAGTCAGTTGACTTTAAAGAACAACAATGCAACAAAAAAAAACTAGCACTCAAAATGCAAGTATTCCTGGGTGCAAAAGTCTAGAACTTCATAACTGCCCAAGGGAGCCCTGACCATCTTGCAGGCAAGAGGCTTTTCAGGCCTTCAAAACTACAGTTATTGCCTGCCTGCGATTCTAATCTACCCATTTTTTCACATTTTCTAATTGAAACCACAGGGCAAAAATACAATTTCACTATTCTTCCCATAACAGAGGAAAAGTAAAACTTACCAGTGTTACCATTACTTGTTGTGACATGCTTTTTCACTTTGCTTTTCTCCTGCATTACCAAATGTTGTCATAAATAAGATCCAAGTACAACAGCACTGTTTTTGTTTGTTTTTTTTTAATTTCATAAAACAGCTTTTACACTTTGATCAAATTATATGTAGGTTTATAGAAAGAAATCTTTCTCAAATAGTTGAACTAGTTATGATCTGAACTTAATAAATATCATTTGACTAGATTTATAATGGTAATTGAACTGAGTGGAGTGCAATTTGGGCTGAAATCATACACGCGATTCCAAAATTGAACGAGCGCGCAGCGCGAGTTCGATTTGAAATCACAAGTATGATTTCAGACCAAAATTGCACAACACGAGGTTCAATTACCACTTTATTACATCCGTTTTGAAATTGCCCAAATACAGGACTTGGTCAGTTCAAATATTTTATTAATACAATACTATGCTGGTTTGAAATTAAATTCATCCATTTTTTGGGAGGAAAAAATAAGAGTTTTGGAAACAAAAGTTGCAAAATTTGCCATATGATACTCCATGTCTTTCATCTTCCTGCAATATGATCGGTTACTTTAAACAAGCCTTGAAGTCTGATTGGTTGTTTTGTTTTTAGTGAAGCCTCCTCATTGGCTCGGAGAAAGATGCGATTTAAAGCAAAAAATGGTGCAATTTGTGAATAAATCGCACCAATTAGAGCCAATCAGATTACAGGGACCATCAGTGATTTCAAAATGGGTGTAATAAAAACAAAAACTACCCCATACCTCTTTCTTGCTCTGGTCTTGACTTACTGCAAGAGATGTTTATTTAAAAAATTAACTTTTCTAATTTTTCTCAGCCCTAAATTTTTACATTGAAGACATTAAATTATTATTTCGCTTAAAACTCCTGACCACCTCCCGATCAACTTGTCAAACTTCAACTTCTATGACAAAGCCAAACTACTGAATGTATATCAACTGATAGGTCAAAACCGTCAGAATATTTTTGTCTTTATGTTTTTCAAATTTACTTCATAAATGCATAAACGTGCATCCCTCGATAACAGCAGGTAACTAAGCCATCCGGAAAATATTATTGATACTATTTTTAATATTTATAAACAGAGGCAGAGTTTTAAACTGGCTGTCACGAATCGGGCACGTGTACAAAACAATAGAGTTTGACAGATCAAAATTATTTCTTAACCGATGAACTTACCCGGGACCCATTTGAAAACTTTCAACGTACAGCTGCTCGGACCGACGTTAACCCATTTCTTTTCCCTGTAAACCAACAAAACAACGAGAATAACGTTAGGATCGGGTAAAATCTTTGAACTACGATCAACAGATTTTCTTGCGATTACGGCTTTTGTGTAACGAATGAATGAATTCGCCGAAAATACATAAAACGAAATAGCTGACGGCGATGCCACATTTCCGGGTTCAAGTATGTAAAGGTTTTACGATTACCATTTCCTTACGCGCTCCACTGAGAGCATAACCCGTTTGACATCATCCTTAGCTCGGCTTCGAGTTTCCAAGCGCATCACGCCGCTTCTGTTCATCATGGCGGCGATCGCTGCGAGAAGAAAATCCCGGATGATCCATATATGGAACGGGTCAAAAATTTTGCGGGACAGAATACGGGACGGGATCATGAAAAAAGGGCTTATTTACAGCAATGATAAACAACAAAATTTCTGTAACGATGTGATTGCAACGACAAAAATCCAAACAGATATTAATTGCCAAAATCGTAAATATCATAAGATGTTAGTCTACATGCTGATTAACTTCAGGATGGTTTTTGTTTTGTTTTTTTCATACTTCCTTTATTCTTCCCCGTCAACGCGATTGCAGTTTGGTGTATCTGGTTTAATGAGGTTAAATTAGCATTTTAGTAAGTTTCAAGATTACCACTGGTTTGAAGTTTTGTACTAGTTTGATCCATTTAGTCAGCTGGTGAATTATTCCCGCGTGGAAAGATCTGTCGAGTAATGTAAGATAACTGGACAAAAAGATTTTGGGTAAAACTACCTCTTGATCACAGTGTCAAAAAAATCTTTGAAGTGGATGAGTCATCTCTCACCGTCCCTGTCAGATGATGGAATCGTATCCAGTGTTAAGTACTTTTCTGTAAGAAGTTTAAGACCAAGTCGTAAAGTTATACTTTTAATGGCTTCATTCTCTTCATGACACTCATCTCAAACTGCAAAGAAGATTCTCTTCCGTTCTGACAAGTGGACCATGATCGTAATTATGTAAATTCTGTGAAACTTAAAGGACAACATGATCATTCCACTCCAAAGTCCAAAACAGACCCTGGATCACCAAACATGAACTCTACTTGTTTAAATAAAAAAAACTCTCGAACTGATCAGACTGAGCCTATTCCCGGTAAACGACATCTGTGTCTACAACGTCCAATATCCATACTGGCTTTGTGCTCCTCATCACCAGCCTTTCAAGTGAACCCTCCTGCTTCGGTTCCCTCTTTCAAAAGCTCTACGCCCATAGTGATGAATGATGGCAAAAGAATAATAATTAACTGTGTGACAAGTGGCTGCCATCAGTCAAGCTGTAGGATCTAAAAATAATCTCCAATCTCTTCCACAATCAAACAGCCCCTTAGACTTTGAGCTCCGGCTGGCTTCAGCTGAATAGGTAGAGAAGAAACTTGAGCGGATGAAGTCTTTCTTTTTCTCTGCCTTCTTGTCGACTCTTATGTATTTTTCTGTCATAAAATTTAATTTAGGTTATTGGATGCAGTTTGTTTCAGGAAGGGAAAGTGAATGGCACGTGCAAAGCACTCACCGAATGACTGATCGCCTCCTTGCACCCGCCCCCTCTGTGGTCTAGTGACGTCACACTCAGAACTTCAGAGTATATAAAAACATGGCGTCACGGCTGTTTTGGCCTGGAGTGCGAGTCCATTCAAGAATTTGCTGCTTTCATTCTCCGCGTTCTTGCGTATATAAATCACTCGTTCGCTTTTACACTTCCAGCTTTATGTCAGGAGACATGAAAGATCTTAACGGAGTCGAGACGAAGGAAGAAAATATATCCAACTTCTTTCTCAATGCCCAAGAAACGAAACTCATGGAGAGTAAGTGGAAGCGAAGGTTTCTGGACACACAATATCGCTGTGATGCGATTTTCATCTTGGGCCCTATGGGAGCAGGGAAGACTACTGTTACAAATAACGAGTTTAAGACCCATCCAGGTTACAGGAATTACGCGTACGTAGACACAGACGAAATCATGGGAATGTTAAAAGGGTTTGAATCAAACAAGGTGGAGGAATATTATCCAGTCGCTCGTAAGATTGCTATTCATCTTACCGACTGGATTTTGGAGCAGAAGATCAGCTTTGTAGCAGAGGGAACATGTGTTAAGTATTTGGAGCTCATAGACTACATGAACCGCTTAAAATCGGTCGGCTATCATGTCCGCGTGAAACGCTTGCCTCGAGTTCCGCTGGACATAATTCTTGAAAGAGCTAAACGACGAAAAAATCGGTTAATTCCTGATCACGTAGTGGAATCGATTTTGGAAGGATCTAACCTTGGAATAGAAAAACTGTACGAGTTTAATAAGACAGAATCGCTGTTTGAGGATATGGACGAACAAGAGAGAAGAGAAGATCTAAGATCAGTTGCTTCGTTAGAAATTCCATCACCAACTGCTTGAAACCTTATGTTATATAATATAGGCAACAAGCACTTCAAGTTAGGAGGGTAGCGTGTGTCTCAGTCTTCTTCATGGTTATAAGTGACCTACTAAGTTGTTGGTGATTTTATGTGAGAGTGACAGGAATATGGAATAGGACAGTAAGTTTGGCTAAAGCATCGTTTACTGTTTACAAACAATAGCGCTATAGTCAGTCACATCGAACGGACTTCAACTACAAAATCATAGTTAACCATGATACATGCAGGAAGTTTGACCTGTCAAAGTCTTGGACCTGTCAAAGTCTTGGACAAAAGCTATTTTCATTGGCTCATGATGTGCAGCTTAAGTCAACTATTAGTCCATTTTACAGTTGCTTGCTTGTCTGCCAAGTCTTTGAACAGGAGTGAGGCTGAGGTTGACCTTGTTATGATACAAACCTTACTGCTTTTCAAATGCAAATTACTTTGTTGTGATGCTAACTAGATACTGGTCTCTATTACAACATGGTTACCTTCATGCCCACTCCAAATCAAAGGCTTGGCAACTAATTATTGATTCATCTAGAATTTTTCATCGTCTTTATTTCATTGTCAACTGAAATATTTGATGCAGTTCCTGCATAGGCAGAGACAATTATTCCACTGGTGCAAAGCTCTTCTTTTGTTATTTCATTCCTTCTGAAAAACTGAACCAAAAGAAAAATGTGGTTTATCTGAGCAACATTTTATTTTGTTAACTCTTTGTTTTGGTCAAAGTTTTCATAGTAAATAGCATTATTTAATTGTGCTCGAAACTTTCTTCTATCTTTGGTGAAAGAGATACAAATTTTTTAATTATTAAATAGCTTTGTGGTTTTGTTATGCACATGAGTATGGTATCTAAAAAAGCATTAATTTGTTATTGAAATACTGAACTTGATGTCTAAGGTATTCAGAATGTTCCTTCTTTGCAACGCTTTCTAAGTTTGGTATAAAAGCCTACAAGTGGTGTAGAACCATTGCAAAAAATATTTTTGTCTTATTCAGTAATCAAGAGTTTTTACCATCAAACATGCCAAATCCAATATCAGGAAGTTCTGTTATTATGAGAATTGTATTGCCAGGTAAACAAATCATGGTTGACGATGATGAAATTCCCAATGAAAAATCCATTACAATATTCTAAGAAGAACTCTAAATAAAGGCCTATGTATATTTGTACATTTTTGAGCAATCCATTCTCTTTTTATACCAGAAGTAAAGACAATGTCCAGTTAACCTCTTTGTTGCCTTTTGTTCTCAATTCACAAGTTTTCAATTTTTGCACTTGTTAGTGCTATGTTACATAAGATTGTAGATATACTCATCCTCTCATTGTTTGAAAACACAATACTAACATTTTGTTTCATAGTGTGTCACATTATTTTCTCATAATTATGGTATGCACAATAAATTGATCTTGTAATGGGTATTAATTTATTATTCTCTTTAATTCAAAGAGGTTGTGTAAGAACATTGGATGTTCACTGAGTTAGTACATACTTTCAGAGCCAGAAACTGCAATTTAAAGGCAGAGAAATCTGTTTAAAAAAAATTACAAGGTAATTATTATTGCTTAGGATATTTATACAGACAGTCACACTGTTTGATCTAAGGAATGAAATCATATCATCAAACAAAATGAGATAATAACTTAATTAATGCTTTATGTTATGCAAATGCAACTCAACATTTTGTGGGTTGTGTATTATTTGCACCATTGTAAAATTCCTCTGGTTTTTTAACTTCTTTGTATAAAATCTTGAAATTACGTTGTGTCTGTAAAACTCAAGGACTCTTCAAGGGAAATAAATTTATACATTCAAGCACCAATGAGATAAAATCTCCAAAATTGCATTGTGGTAATTTAATTACATTTCTTGCTTCAACACCTACAATGCGATTGTTAATTCTCTCCTCTAGTTGTACATTTCCTTGTTAGGTAGATACGAGAATTTGGTGTTAGACCAAGGTAACAACTTCTGCCTGATAAGTTTGGTTATTCTCATTTCCTGTGTGCTGGATATTGAATGGATATTTCCAGGAGAAGTTGCATGTTAATCACTTCACAAACAGTTAATGTTCCTCAGTTCCTTACATGATCATCCCTTTTCTCTGATAGTTATCATCATTATCACCCTGAATCAAACCACCAAAGGTTGGCAAAATAGTAACATGAAGGATAAATATGAAAACATTTTCCAAAGAAACAAATAGAGCACTTGTTCAGATGTTAAGCCATGGTTACATCCTCTCTCCCCCAGAAAACAATTCAGATTATTTAGTTACTGACCAGCTTCTGGTCAGAAGTATGTACATATGCTGATGCACACAAATGTGTGCTCTCCTATTACTTTCACTGATTTTTAAACTCGCTGTGAAATCCTAAATGGAATTTTATAATCGACGTATTACGAGTTTATATGTTAATGATGACATCATAATGAAATCTTGAATTCTATCTGAAGAGAAAATTAATTACAAAATTTGGACTTTTTTGTGCAATCAGCAAAGCGTCGCTTAGATATCAGCTCGTAAAATTTTGCTTCTACAACTTAGTTACAATTACCAAACTCGCAGCTAATGAGGCTAGTGTCGGACGAAGGACTGGGACCTACTGTCGCATGTGCTCTTGCTAACCCCTCCCCGTTTTGCGCCAGTCACGCAGGCTAACCAGCTCGTCACCCGATCAGCCTTCTTACTCCAACAGAGAGCCGGAAGGACCCTGATATGCTGAACGTGTACCCTTATCCCTGTGGTTCATTGTGAGGCATTTTGCGTCACAGAGCTTCGGTTAGCTATGGCGGTAGCCGTAACCCTGAAGATGATTATAGCAGCGTGCCTAATCGCAGGCAGCCCAAGCTCCAGCTGTGAGATGATCACCTTGCGAAATAAGAGTCACGGCGAAATTACAAGAGTTTGTATGGGAATATTTACGACTGCTTTAATTAAGGAATAAGAAATACAGTCAAATTCTCAATAAAAAATACCCCACCTTACCTCCACGGTGCATCGCTTGCTATCTGACCTTTCCCTATGTTGAAAAGAACCCATTTTAGCGAGTTATCCATTCCTAGGTTTACTACGTAGGGCTTTTCTTATCTACGTAGTAAACCTAGATATGGAAAACTCGCCAAAATGGGTTCTTTTCAACATAGCAAGCGGTCAGATAGTAAGCGATGCACTGTGGAAGTAAGGTAAGGTATTTTTATTGAGAATTTGACTGTATTTCTCATTCCTAAGAGCGGTCGTAAACATTCCCATACAAACTCCTATAATTTCGCCATAACTCCTATTTCGCAAGATGATCGTCTCTCAGCTGGAGCTTGGGCTACCTGTGGCCTAATAAGCTCCAGATTGTGTTTGTCATCAGTCAAATGTTGTTTATAAAATAACCCTTTTGATAAATATTAACAGTAACGCTAAACAAGCCTCGATCTATATAAATTGAGGTATTTTAATGATTTACTCGGTCAAAACCAAACAAGTATAAATAATATATTGCGCGCGCTAGCTGATTTTGATGTCACAAACAAAACCCAGCGAAAACTAATTTTACTCCACTTTTGCGGATCAAGATGTCGAACAATATGACTGAGGTGTGTGAAGTTTTAAAAAGGACTTTGCGGGTCGACAGGATTCCAGAGATGGATAAATACTACAAACGAATTGAAGAGACGGAAGATCAATTTGCTGATATGGCGCGATGCGTTGGAAAATACGCCACGATTACAGAGAAGCTTGCACATAGAGGAGAAAAATTAGCTTCAGCGATAGGAATTTGCAGTTCGGACCAGGAAAGCAAAAATGCCTTCAAAAGCAATTTAGCAAACTACACCAGACATTTGTCTACGATCCAGACACAGCGGAGTGTGTTGAAAGACATTCTCAACGGAAAGATCTCAAGTGACCTCACGGCTTATGAAGGGAAGTGTCTGCAAATGAAGAAAAGCGTGAAAGCGTGCGAGAATGCAGTGCGCAAAAAGAACCACAGGTTTCTTCTGCTTCAAAAGGCAAAAAATAAGACGCCTATGGACCCTAGAAATATCAACGATGCAAACATAAAATTCGAGAAAGCTCGCTGTGAGGCAGAACGTTCATGCGAAGATGTTAAGATGGCAATGAAGCATTTTGAGGAGCAGAAGTGGAAAGACTTGCATCATATTCTTGGTGACTTCCTACTTGCTGAGATGCGCTTCCACGCGCAAGCACTTCAGGGCTACACCGCTGCTTTTAAGTGTCTGCCCCTGTTGTCTGAAGGAGATGATGTGGATAGACCTCGCGGGAATCCTCGCGGGAACAGTCGCGAGTCCTCCCGCGATAAGAGAGAAAGAAGAGTGGCGTTTTCTGGTTCTGATGATGACACCAGACTACCAGTCTCGCAAATTGACCTCAGGCGGAGATCTGATTCAAGTGATTCGAAACTATCTATAAGAGATCTTGACTGACTTATAATGAAATCTGAAATTCTTAGACAAAGAGAAGAATTAATATAGAGAAAAACTGAAAACGAGGATATTAATAAAATAATGTCATAACTGATCACCATCTACAAGAAGCCACAAAGTTTGCGCAAATATATTCAATTTTCTTTTGCGTTGTTTTTGGTTTGATTTTTAGTGCGTTTCGTTTTTACGTGGCATTTTTTGTAGTTACATCATCACCATTATTGCAGAGAGCTTTTCGCTTGGATTGATTTATATTTCTTTTCTCCTCCCTTATTTTACCAATCAATCTGTTGCTATTAATTATGCGCATACGCTTCCCGCCTTTGACTCTACGACATTATAGAAAATTTTCAACTAGAAGTCACGTTCAAGTTAAGACTGCTAATGGTCAGATGCTTTGTCTACAACACTGATCACATCATCCAAGAAACTGTTACTGTTTTCATTATGTCCTCATCTATTCTTTGTTTGAATGTCACGGACCAGTTGTAGGAGACTCCCCTAAGCATTTCACTAGGAAATCTTTTTCCCATCTACAAGACAATGAAGAGGATTTTTCGGCAAAATGATTTTATTTTGTGCTTTTTGCTTAGGTGAAAGTCCATGGAGGACTCAGTAATAACGGATACAAAACTTAAACTAGTTCTCAATTACTGTATACAACATTATAGGTAAGATAGCGTTTACATCATGCATCATAAAAGCTTTTTAAAATCACTGATTCATACATTGATTACAAATCAGGACACCAGCTAATCAAGGCTAAAAGGCTATGCGAGCTACCGTAACCGCAATTCTCAACAAATTCGTCGATGGTTACTTCGCAACTAACACAAATGGGACTCCTTAGCGAGTGACTGTTCAAGCAATTTGCTTTTATGACTCTATATAACCGTAACCGTAACCGTAACTGAAAAAAAATAGTCTCAGAAAGAATTTCCCAGTTTCTGTCAACACCATTTACATTTAAAAAAGAGTCTTCCAATTTTCTGACCAGCGCAAGCAAGCATTCTTTTCAACCAAAAGACATATTTCGCTCTAAGAAAGCGTCGCTCTCTTTATTGAATACTGCTTTTTCTCAAAGGACGGTGCTGAAAATTACAATACTTAAATCCAAGTTACAACTGTTTTGATCAAGAAATCAAGAGATAATTTGATAAGATTGTCACTTTGAGTCGATGCCTGCTACGTAGCTTGGGAAGGCAGGAAAGGCAGTAAAACCTGTGTTGATAATAAGAACTTTGGTTAACCAGGACTTGACACAGAATTTTATTCCAGAACACGAATATCAGAAATCTTGAAGTTGAACATCCCACACTTGCCAAAGGTGGATATCCCAGCATTTGACACGCCGCTTTTTCGTCTTAGACTGACTCCAGCTACTGGCGTATTTGGTTGATTTACCATCCAAAAGTGTCCATCGCCACACAAAGTATTCACACCATTGAAAAGATTATCTAAGGAAACATTGAGGAGAGTAAATCTTGTAGAATATTCATTTGTCGATGCTTAATTTGGTTCATGCTGAAGTAATAGTAATTCAGCGCAACTAACTATGCTGAACTCTACAAGAATTTTGATTGGTGTGTACCAATGATCTATTATAATACACAACGTCACTCAAGTTACGTCACCTAGTGGTACCATAGTTGTAACTCTTCACATGAAACAAGTAAACACTGTGTTACTGCGTTCCTATTTAGTAATGAAGAGGGTACTTTCATGAGAAATGAAACAGAAAAATGCTGGTGCCACTTAATCGAGGCTTAAGAACGTTTTGATTAAGTTTATAGCCTGCAAACATCTGAAAGGTTTCCGGATGCATTAATTACCATTTGGGCCAAGATATTCTTCTTCCCAAAGTTCATCCAGATTAGGGTCGAATTCTGAAACACCGGGAGTGAATATATCAGAGGCCCTGTAATGATGAAAGAAAATCGTGGGCTGTAACATCTTTAAAAATTTTATGCAGTCCGAGAATTTCCTGCCCCTCACATCTACAGCAATCATTTGGTTGATTCATAGGAGAGGAGTTTCTGCGTTCATTTGAAATACGAGACATTATGGGAAAAGCTCACCAGTCAGGGACGCTTCCAAAAACTGCAAAACACGTTTGAGTTTGTAAAAACATCTGCTTGTATGAGATTCGCTTCCAGTCTCCAGATACGGATATAAACACGCCGTCTGTAGGAGCCCCGTAACTTCCAACGGGACAATCGACTGGTGACTCCAGTTGAACTTCGATAACTACTCCGGATCCACCTTCGACAGTTTTCGCCGCAACAACATTACTTGTTGTCTGTACTTCCACTTCATCTACTGAAACATTTCTCCAATCTACAATTTGGTGAATAAAGCATTTAATGCATCAATCAAAGCGAAAATCAACTACTCTCATTATAAATGAAGAGTGACTGAAGTTCTTATAATTCCATAACACTTCCCATTTCTTTATTTTCCAAGTTGACTTGAACATTGCATACTTTATCGTGATATTAATCTCAGAGATTTTAATCCAGTCTTCGAAAACGGAAGCACAGAAATCAAAGTACAAATCTTTCGATAGGTGTGCCCCCTTACAATTCGCCTTTTAAACACAATAATTTACTCCATAGGGATAGCTTGCCCGCTAATCAAAATAGCCGAAAATTAATTATCACTGAGTGCATTCGTGCATTTTCGATTGAATGCCGAAAAGTAAGCAGGATAACTTCAATTTTTCCTTAGTTCGCCATGTGATTGGTCGAGAAAAACTCACGACACCTTTTCAGCCAATCAGATCGAAAACTAAAACCAAGCGCGACTGAGCTTTCCCGCGCTTCAGGGCCGTTTGCTTGTCTTTACTTTGAGCTCGTATTACGTCCTTATGATATCTTTTACTTGTTCCGATAGGCTGATGTCATTACTCTTGTTTTGGTTGTACTAGACTCAATTGAGAAGCGCTCAGAGCGACGATATGAAGTTGCAGTTCAACTTACGTCTCCCAGCAGAAGTGACCTTAACAAAGTGAACGACTCCAAATCTCTTGGAAGACAAACCAAGTTCCGGCCATTTAATGATGTTAGGAACGTAATATTTTGAACCTTCATTGTACCAATTTCCTATATTTGGTTCACCTAAAACACCAAACCAAATGTTCACACCCGAAATTCTTCCGTCAAAAGGGCTGTCATTTTCAACAGTGCCGTCAACTTTTTGATTCTGTCCGATGATAATTTGGGCCCACTGGGCAACACTGTACACAACACTGTCACTGGACACTGTTGAATCAAACTCTGCATTTACTATTGCTTCCATATATGGTGGGTTGTGAGATTGGACACGAACACAGAGGAAGACCATTTGATTCGTCGGCGAAGCGAATAGGCTGGAAGAGGTGGTCCTTTAGAAAGGAAAACAACGTTATGGTTAATTGTGACGCTTTGAAATCCGAAAATAATTAATAAAGAGATCCAATACTTTTCTTTTTTATCACGGTCGATTTTCATCAGCTTTACGGCTTAGACACCCGTGAAAAGTTACTTTTCAAAGTTTATGTTATGATTAATTGCGCCTCCATTTTCAAAATATAACAGTATCGCATGTAAACTTTGACAATGAGATGATTGATTTCTATCCATCTGTAGCTGACGAAAACTCCTCACCGATCATTTCCATACGAAAATTCGAAATTCCCTTGTCCATCGATTTGCACTCTCAAAACTTTATGGGCGCCATTCCTCTTGGTTAATACACTTATCACAGTCATCTTCTTGCCTGGTTCAACGCCTGGTGTGTATATCCAGGCACAGACGGTGAAGCCATCGACCCATTTCTCTAACATATTTTGGACCACATAGCTCGTTTCTTGCGTTTTTCTGAACACGAGCTCAAAATCATAGTCAATTTGATTGCTGGGCTCGCCTTTACCTCTGACAGTCGCTATGAATCGAAAACAAACAAATTGACGGAAAGAGTTAATTAAATTGACGGAAATTGTTAATTTGATAGCGGAGCTCAAACGCTCGCGAAGCGCGAGCCAGCGAAACCCCATACTTGTAACAAATGGCAGTAATAAAAGAGCTATTTTAGTTAGTTAATTTCTTTTGTTTCTTTTTTTTTTGTTTCCTAAGAATCATTTTAGCATTTTATAAAAGTCTATCTCGTTAAGATTTTATTTTTCCCATGATGGCTCAGCTAAGGTTTTGCCAGATTTAGCTCTTGTAAACGCTTGAATTATTTTTGTGGCCTTGTCATATGGATTTCAAATGGGAACGCCATATGCAGGGAAAATTCAAAATTGAGATGAGATCAATCAAAACATTACAAAGGATATTAAAACAAGCCATGCACGACAACACCGAGTTGAACTAAATTAGGTAACTATTTTATGTGTAAACTCTTTCCTGAATCGTTTTCCTCTGATTCGTCATCTAGAGTCCACTTCATCAGAATGAATGCTTAAAATCGAATGTTTGGAAAAGGATCAATTTCAAAAGGAGTGCCCGTTTGTTTTTTCAGATGACTAGTCAAACCATAAAAGTCAGCCTTCTTGTATGATACCAGAGACAACTGAAATATGGAGCTCAAGCGGATAAATTATTCTTGCCATGCATGAAGTCGAAATAAATCATGGGGTCTTTCCAACAAACACCACGTTAAATCAGTAATCTCAGCTTTTAAGCGTTATCAAGTACTTATGCTTATGCTGATGCCCTGGGCTCATAAGCTGCATTTGTATTGAGTTTTTACTGCTTTTGTGTTAGTTTCCAGTGGCTACGTGCCTTATGCTCACGACAGCAGAGTGTAGCGGCTTACAATGTTTCCGACTAATTCTTCGTGATTGGATGTTAAGTAATTTTTGAATCTTGCGTTTTTAAAGAGAAAAAGTGAAGTCGAGGTTACTCACTTGAAGCTGAACAATCAATGCCTGTGAATGCATCCGGGCACTTGCATTCGTAGGTTTTGTCACAAAGCACTTCCACGCATGTTCCACCATTTTGACATGGGTTACTGTCACAAACTAGTTAATAAAACAACACTATGTATAGAGTAGATTTTTCTCGGATGGGAGAAAGAAAAATTTCTGCATTTTGCATTTTTCTCGTTGCTGGCGTGGGAGAAAGATTAAGTTCTGAGTCCCTAAGAGGAATCATACCTTAGACCCTCGTAATTCCGGTCTCCGATGCTCTACCACTGAATCACAGAGACTCAGACACGGTGAGCTGAACCATTAAAAACGGGGTACATATTTTTTTAACGCTACATAACATCAGTGGGCGAAAACTACCACGCGTAAATGATATTTCTCCTCAGTGGAAGGCAAACTATTACTCTGAAGGTCTGAACTTTACTAAAGCCATAGTACTCGTTTTTGCCACAAGCTGAATCACCATTGCTTTCGTGATTTTATTGACAGCATCATGAGATCCCCAATCGTCACAGAGCAAACTGGAATATCTCTTTAAGTTGTAAACAATGGTGAGAAAGCCGGTTTCATTCGTTGTTTTTGATAATGCCGTTAATCAAGGGGAGAAGTAATTAAGATTCGTTTTCATAAGAAGGCAATAAGGGACAATGAGGACTTAAGCTGTCATATTTAGATTCCATTGTTACTAAGAAATTTTAAGACGGGAACAGGGGTCCCATGTACTTCCATATTAAAAAAAAAAAAGGGAATATGCGCCCAACGTGGGGCTCGAACCCACGACCCTGAGATTAAGATTCTCGACTGCTGAGCGAACTGAGTGAAGGAAAGAATAATCATGGTGGAAAGCATAATATTTTTTTATATTATAATCCAACGACTTTGAAAAAAATGGGATAGGTTTTTTTACGCGCTAGACAGATTTCTTTTCGAGAGACTATCTATGGAAAACTCTAGAAAAATGAATATATCCAAAGCAAATACCAGAAGCCTCCTTCAGGCCTCTTTCGTTTTCTCTTAGTCTTGAATGTCAAATAGTAAAAATAAAAAGAACAAATGAAAACTCACCTTCGACTGAGTTACTGCAGTTAACCAACTCTGTCTGTCCCGTGCAATTTCTATCCAGCCAATACTTATTGTTGATTGTGTATTTGCCCTCACTTGCCTTTATTTCCCGGCAAGATATCGCTGGCAATTCAGGAATGGAACCCAGGGGAACTGCAAAGTTAAAATTGTCCATGAGAAGCAATTTCGTTGCGATGGCTCGCTCAGTGTCTTGCCACCGACTTAGAAATGTCTCACCATTTCTTTGATTACATTTTTATCATTAACTCAAGAAGGGTGGTTGTACTGGAGGGAAATACACCAAGGCACCGAAGTATATTAATTGTTATGAAAAAATAAGACTAATCACATACCTCTGCCAACCAACCGTCGCTTATAAAATCGTGCAGGGTCAGAACGGAAGTTTTCTGGTCTCGCCTCTTTGGTACGGTTATTCAATTCGCAGATTTTCTCCCCTATGACATAGTTATAGCTTTGACATGTGACTTCTCTTTCACAACTGAAGTCACACTGATGTAGGGCTGTCACTGACATCCTTTTGAAGACAAATCCATCGAGAGCCATACCAGGAATACTGATTTCTGTCCGGCATTGAGCGCCAGCCATAACGAAGGTGGTGAAAGAAGCCAAAAAGTGGAAAAAGCGATATAACCACGGCATGTTTCCTATGCATTTGAATTGAATACATTTCAGTTAAGCGAAGATAAATCAGTATAGCAGAGGAAAGTCGCGCCACGCTCTCTTGAGCGTCTTCTTCGTTTTCTTTTTCATTGTAGATGAAATTACTTCATGCAGTATAACTGAGTAAAATATCAGTTACAATAAAAATTATCAATTAACAAAACTATAACTTTTTAAAAACACAGTTTTGCTATTTCAGAGTAATTCAAACCAATTATGAAGTTCGAACGGTTTCAAGTTAATGCTATCAGATGTTGGTCAAATATGTTCAGTGATAAATTATACATCGATAGAAAGACGCTACCGACAACTTTTATCTTTTCCAGTCGAGAATAGTTTTGCGAGAATATACATCAAGTCCTTCCACTCACAGAAGTAAATATACCCCAAGAAGTTAAGTACTTGCTTTCAATAATGCGTTTTAATTTTGAATATACTTTTTTATCATCAGCTTATACAAAAACAACCTATTTGCCACCAGAAGTTATTGGTCTGATAAATACGTCTTCTCGATAAAAGGAAAGAGAGGACTAGTTGAAATTTGTTTTAGCTTAGCTCGCAGGTCAATTCTGAGTAACAAAGATTCATTGAGGAAAAGGTGTCTGGCGCCATGGATCAATGTTCCTCAATGTTACTCATCTTAACTATCTGAAGGGAAATGAAAAGATTTGGACTAAAACGCTACTATGAATTGATCCAGTGTTTTTTAACTTAACATTTTCTTTCTTGGTCTTTCATGACGAAATCTTGCCCAAAAAATCTAGGAAAACAGACTTGAATAGCTAGTTGAAAGTCTTTGTATCTTCCATTACTTGCAATTGTGACCGAAGTAAAAAAATGTCTGACCAAAACATGATATCCACCCTTTTGTATTTAGGACGACGGCCACATTCTAAAAATTCTACTCAACTAAAGAAAATCTCTCTTGGGTTTAAATTAGCAATTACAACAGCATTGTGATACTTATTGCCAATTCTAAGCCGTCAAAAATGGGATAAATTATATTCCGAACTTTTCCTCACCTTCCAAGGTGGCAGAAAATTGTTTCCAGTTTTTCACAGCTTTTTTAGCTAATTCCACATGTTGTTACACATGCATTTGTTCTATCTTTCGTTGACTTATTGCAGGCAAACATATGGAAAAATAATTTTTTTCCTCCAGATTAAAATTTCGGCCCAGCCAGCCGGCTTTTACATTTTTTAAAAACAACAAGCATATACCTTCATTCTCATTGGTTGATATGTTTTGATTTCCATAACTTTTATCTCCTGCATAAATGCTGGTTTAGAATAGCAATAGAAACCGAGTTGATTTCAACGGCAACCCCCCGAAACGGTATTGACTCAAGCATAATGTAGACACTGTAATTAGATGAACTTTCTCTACAGGTTCTCACAGGAAATTGTGAGCTAATTTACTGCGCCACTTATGAGGTCAATTTCCTATGAAGTACTTATGTTGTTGATACTTGCGGAAGGCACTCTAAACCCTGACAGTATCTATTACTCAGCCAAAATTATCAGAGAGTATAACAACAAAAACTACCATTCTCTAAACGATTTCAAAGCTTTATTTTACTATATTCATGAAGGAAACATCTTAAACATCCATCCTCATTATTTTTCTTTGGAAAAAAGTTTTGAGTCGTTTCAGTTTCCTTTAAGGATGGAGAGAGCCAAATAAGCCACAGGTTCAGGATCGGTGTTATAGTGAACAAAAAGCTTTCTCTTCCCATTCATCCCGTATGTTTCTCCTTCTCAGTTACCTCTCTCTTTAACGCTTCCCTTTGCTAACTAGATTTCCAAAATAGAAAGAAATCACTGACAAGTCCGTAAAAAAACAACCTCTTTCTACAAATGAACGGATTCCTCGTTATAAGATCGAGCACCTGCGCAAAGAAAACTCATTCGGCCATTCTTTATTGCACCTTAGGGGTCCAGAAGTTGAATTAAAATGCTTTAATTGTAAAGTTTATTTTCCTTAAGAAGGGCTGTTAGCGAGACAAATTTTTCCAATGGAGAGCATATCAGTGAAATGTATATGTCTTTTGTAACCGCAAGACAACGAAGCCGGAAAGCTTTCAGTGCAAATATTGTTTATTGGAGAGTTTTTTTTTGGTAAAATTTCATTTGAAATCTAGCTAAAAAAAACACAATCCTATCTATAGAATAAGATGATAAATTTTCCAGCTAGAACTAGTTTTAAAACTATTTCTCAGTGATTAGTAAATCCTTCTATGGAAAAATTTTAACACGATTTAAAGGCAATAGTTAAAAACTTCGTTGCTGACAACGACGCTGATAAAACTAAAGCTAACTGCACCGTAAGACCTATTCGATCTCCGGCAGAACAGAAAAACCGGCAACTTAGTCAAAGATTCGCAAAACTTCCCCTTTGTGCTTCGAAAGTCAAGTTGGGGCATGACTATTTCTGCCTGCAAGACGTTTTCTGTGTCGATTTACACATGAAAAAGCCAGCTTTAGAGCGGGGAAAAATACGTTTTTTGTGAAATCTTGGTCGTCTACTTGTATAGTTTGAAAATGACATCTTCGTTCAGTCAACTATCTATGTCAGTATAAGACAAGTGCGAGAGCTCTAATTTTTTTTTCAAGGTGAACTGATTTTCAGCCGTCTAGTTCCAGTGCAAATTAGTTGTCCTAGTGCTGTTTAAACTTCCCAATTCATAGCGGGCTCAAGTGCTAGCCAGCCAAAGTCGCTAAAAGGCAGCAACGTGTTTGGTCTCCTTCAAAGCACGGTTCTCTGGGATACCATGTAACTTTCCTGTGCAGTTTGTCGCGACATCACAAACATCAGCTGCGAAGAGGACTGCAGCTTGTGTCGACAATAACAGCTTGGATTAGCCAAGACTTCAATGATACATAAATTTTACTCCAGAACACGAATATCAGAAATCCTGAACTTGAACATCCCACACTTGCCAAAGATGGATATCCCAGCAACTGACACGCCGCTCTTTCGTCTAAGACTGACTTCAGCTACAGGTGTATTTGGTTGATTTACCATCCAAAAGTGTCCATCACCACACTGATTATTCATACCATCAAAATAATTACCTTAAAAAAACAGGGAGACAAATCTAATACCTTCTCATCGTCCTCATCATAATAATCATAGCAAACGTTGCTTGGTTTTCCGCTGTCTATATTAGCGCAGGCACACAGATGACATTATAATTGTATATCGTTATCCAGAACAAATAGATGTAACGACAAGTCCTTTTAATATAAGATCAACGAAAACGTCGAAATGTGGCGAGGAATCATGAGTCATCAAAACATATGAGACATAAAGCTAGCCTCGCATTTGGTAACTTTTATAGTGCCAAAATTCTGTATTCCTTTTCTTATAGAGAAACAGAGTGAGGCCGCTATAGGTAGTCTAACTATATGAAAATTACTTATCAACCGCGATATTTACTTTCAGATTCTTCTGTTTTATATTTTGAAAGTGCAAATTGAAACCAAACTTATATAAAGCTAATTTAAACAAAAGGCCCAAAAAGCACTTTTTTTTACGCTATTTAACTAATTAGAGATTTTTCGTGTGCATTAATTACCTTGTGGGCTTTTCAGATTTTGTGTCCAAAGCTCATCCAGATCAAGGTCGAATTCCGTAACACCGGGAGTAAATATACCAGTGGCCCTGAAATTATGAAAGAAAACCAAGAGTTCTTACTTCTTCATTGACATTATATTTGGAGAAAAGCAAAACTTGAAAGGCCATAATGGACTAAATTTACGTAGATGGAACCAAACTCAAGAAAACAACAATTTCCGAACTTGCATAAAGCTGGATAGTTAGTTAATGGTTTCTGCCAAGATTCAGAACCAATGCAGCCCACGTTATCCCCACTCTGTTATACAAGAGACCTTTTTAGATCACGGTCCATACTTATAACGGTGATAAGAGACATTAACCGAATTTCTCACCAGTCAGGGACGCTTCCGAAAATTGCAAAACACTTCTGAGTTTCCAAGAACGTTTGCTTGTATGCGATTCGTTTCCAGCTTCCAGATACAGATATAAACACGCCATCAACAGAGGCCAAATAACTTCCATCACTACAAATGACTTGTGACCGACGCTCAACGTCGATTACTATTCCGGATCCACTTTCATAAGATTTCGACGCCGAAACATCATTTGTTGTTTGTACATCCACCTCACTATCCGAAACGTTACGCCAATCTTAATATAAAAATATTACCATAAATAAATTATACACCCACTGTAATCATGGTACACACCATAACGTTCGATTAGGTTTAATGATTAAAACCACAGTTTCAACTATAGTTGTGACTTTTGTTACATTGTTGGCTTTGGCAGATCCAAAGGAAGGATCGAGGGTACCTTCAGGCATTCGGTAAACTACGGGAGAGATCGGGTCCTCTACCTTCAGCCATACCCCCTCTTTTGGATGAAATTAACGTTATATTACAAACATCGAACAAAAACGTAAAGTCGGATGAACTTACGTCTTCCACCTGAGGCGACCTTAACAAAGTGAACGTCTCCAAATCTTTTGTCGAGACTACCAAACTCCGGCCATCCTATTATGTCGGGTTTGTAATACTGATTCTTTAGACCTGAATTGTACCAATTTTTGGTATTTACTTCATTCAATCTGTCTTGCCAGATGTTCACACCCGAAATCCTTCCGTCTAATGAGCTATCGTTTTTTATAGTACCGTCAGCTTTCTGATTTTGTCCCAGTATAACTTGAGACCATCTAACTTTATGATACTCAACACTGTCGCTAGAAATAATAGATTTGAAATCTGCGTTTACGATCACATCCATATAAGGCGAGTGAGTTTGGACACGAACATAGAGGAAGACCATTTGATCCCGCGGGGAACTGGTAGCGAATACGTTGGAAAGTGTTATCCTGTGGGGAATAAAAACATCAAAAATATTTTTACTTCCAGGAAGATTGGACTGGATTGTTGGACACGGTGGAGTCTAAGTTGTTAAGGGTAGTTCTTCGAGAGAGAAAAAAGGAACCAGTACAAAATATACGTAATACCTTTCTATTATCTCCAAGAAAATCAGGTATTCCCGAATTGATATGTAGCTGCATATTTCCAGGGGATTTTCTCTAAACGAACTCTACAACTTACAATTTTTTTTCTACGCGTGCAACAAGTCTAGCTCCATCAGTTTTGTCGTTAACCCTTTGACTCTCAGAAGTGATTAACAAGTAACTTCTCCCGACAGTATATGTGCACCATCCAGCAAACAGGTAATGAGAATATTCAAATGTATCAGGTAGTTGTTATCTTGATCTAATACCTAATTCTCGCAACTTGTTTACTGAAAACCCCTTACCGATCATTCCCGTATGAAAAGTATACATTCCCTTGTCCATCGATCTGCACTGTCAGGGCTTTGTGGCTGTCGTCATCCAGCCTAGTCAACACACTTATAATGGTCATCTTCTTGTTCTGTTGTACATCTGGTGTGTGTATCCAGGCACAGACGGTGAAGTATGCAATCCACATCAGGTTCAAAGTATGATTCACATAGTTCATTTGTTGTGTTTCTCTGAAAACCAGTTCGAAGTCATAGTCATCTTGATCTTCGGGTTCACCTTTGCCTCCTGCGGGACTTGTGATTGCTAGAAAAGATAAAACAATTACAGCTGCGGCAGACTGATTATGTGGGGAGATTTTGGTCGAATATTTTGCTACGCTTTTCAGATATCATTTTAGCAGTTTTAAAATTTAATTTTGCCGAGATTTCATACGTCCCAAATGTGCTAGATGAAAATCTTGTACAACTTCTCGTGAATTGGCGTATTTGTTGTTAAATCGTATCATGAATTACTGTAAAACATTATGGAATTTGATAAATTGATTAATTATTGTGATCATTGTATGTTGTATTTTTGTCGGTTCGTTTGTTTTCTGATCGCCATTTTCCCCATTGTTTTCCCACCGTCATCGTCCTCGTTATGAACATCATCATCGGAATCGCCACCGTGACGTCACAAACCAAACAATAAGACTTCCAAAAATAAAGCATTATGGAATAGAAGAAAGGCGTCGTTACAATCAAGAGAAAGCAAAGGCTCGCTGGTGGTCCATTAATTTTCTCTTAGCCTTGAATGTCAAATGAATAGTTTAAGTATGAAGTAAAAACAGTAGAGTGTAAAACAAGGGCAGAAGAGCCTAAAACTCACTTTTTACCGTGTTACTACAATCAACTAACTCTGCCTGTCCCGTGAAACTGCTATCCAGCCAGTACTTGTTGCTGATGTCGTATTTGCCTTCACTCGCCTCTATTTCCCCGCAAGATATCGCTGGTATTTCAGGAATGGAACCCAAGGGAACTGAAAAATTAAGGGGTATCTTTGAGATGAAATTTCGTTGCTATGGTTTGCTCAGCGTCAAGTCTTTGGCTTAGAAAAGTCCGATCTCTTTTTTTGAATCTTTTTTAATAGTCTATGATACTGCGGCACTGATCGGCGAAAGATCAAGGCACCTAGTGATTTTTAACTGTTACAAGCAGCTTAATTAAGCTGATCACATACCTCTGCCGATAAAACGTCGGATATAAAACCGTGCGGGGTCAGAGCGGAAATTTTGGGGCCTCGCCTCCTTGGTACGGTTATTCAATTCGCAGATTTTCTCCCCTATGACGTAGTTATAGCTTTGACATGTGATTTCTCTTTCGCAATGGACTTCACACTGATGTGGGGCTGTTGCTGACATTATTTTGAAGACAAAACCATCAAGAGCCATACCAGGAATACTGATTTCTGTCCGGCATTGAGCATCAACCATAACGAGGGCGTTAAAAGATGCCAAAAGATGTAAAATACAATATGTCAAAGTCATGTTACCTGTGTTTTGAAATTAAACGTATCTAAGTTGAGCTCATAGTGGGAATAAATTAGTTGCAAAACCAGCGGAAAGTATCGTGTACGCGAGCAAAAACTTATGCACGCATAAGCGAAAAGTTACGCGTACACGGGCTAAAAGTCATGCGAGCGCCACCGAAAAGTCACGCGTCACGATCAAACAGTCATGCGTGCACGAGCAGAAAGTCACGTGCACTCGAATGAAAGATACCGTGTACACGAGCTGGTCTCGCGCACGCGAACCAAAGTCATGCGTTCAAGAGAAAGAAAGAGATTAAAAAGGACAGCTGTTCTTTCGCACCGTCAGATATTCGTCAAGAATATTCGGTAATAAATTATACATCAAGAGAAAGACGCTACTAACCTCTGGTTTATTTTCAATCAAGAAGAGTGCTGCGAGAGTATTAATCAATTCCATCAGATCAAACAAGTAAATATAAACCAAGGAGTAGAGTACTTGCTTTCATTGACGCGTTTTAAGTTTCGATATGACCAGCATTAGCCTTATGTTGACATGTATACAATCGATAGATTTCAAGTAAATTGGTCACCATTGTCTGATAAATTCTCCTTCTCTTTTTCGACGAAAGTGGAAGGAAAATAATTGAAATTTGTATAAGATCAGTTCGCGGGTCAATTCTGGGCGGGAAAAAAGACGAAGTTAGGAAGAGGTGCCCGTTTATTTAGCGCTCAACAAACTGATAAAGAACGAAAAGATCTCTAGTAATATGCTACGTGTATGTATGGGAGTGTTTTTTGGTCTTTCGTGGCGAAATCTGGTAGTAAAATATTAGAAGAGAATAGACTCGGATAGCAACCGAAGTTGAAAATCTTTTTACATAACAGTGAAAAAAATAACATTTCTGGCCAAAAACATTGATCGACCCTTTATATTTAGGACAACGGCCACAATCTAAAAATCCTATTCAAATAAAGGAAATTTCTCTTAAGTCTAAATTATCAAACATAACAGAATTGTGATTAATATTGTTAATCCTTAACAAATTTGTGGTGAAATTGCAACCCAAAATGTTCCTCACCTTCCAAGATGTCAGAAAACTGTTTTCAGTCCTTCATAGCCTATTTAGCCAATTCTACGCGTAGCTTTCTAAGGAGTTTTCGTTGCATCTTTTGCTGACTGATTGCAGTTATAGCTTCTTCGCAAACAGATGGAAAAACAAGTTGTTTTTCCTCTTATTTACATTTCACCCCAGTCGGCTTTTGGTATTTATTTCCTTTTTTTAACCACTAGAATATTAACTGCATTCTCATTTCTTTGGATAGCCGGAGAGTTTTTCATTTCCGCACCTTTGATCTCCTGCATAAATAGCAGTCTAGAAATTACTAACAATAGAAGGCAGGTTTTTAAAAGTAGACACTAATTTTAGATAAACATTCCCTACAGGTTCTGCTAGGAAATCAGAAGTATATTTATGAGGTAATTTCATGTGCAACCAATGAGGCGAAGCTGCACCTAAAGTATTCATGTTGTTGAGACTTACAGAAAGCATTCGAAACCCTCGCATAACCCCCAAGAGCTATCAGAGAGTACTTCTGTTTTCTAAACAAGCTTCATTCCGCACAATAACATTTTCAACATCCCACCTCATTGATTGTTTTTAAAATTTCCGAGAATCTTTTTATTTTCATTTGAAGGCAGAGAGTGCCTAATGAAATTAAAACTTGCTGTAGCGAACAAAAAGCTCTATCTTTCAAATTATTACGTATGTTGTCCTTCACAGTTACCCTTAACTGCAGCGGCTCTATTTGAAGGCTATAGATTTCCCAAATCGAAAGCAATAACTTACTAAATAGTATTCAGTAAAATATCACCTTTATTTATCTAAAACTGAACGAATTACTCTTTTTTTTAATCAGATTAGTTACATATTTCATTGTTCCCTTAATGCCCAACAGGTGTTCTTACATTGCATAGAGGACGCCGTAATAAAATACCTCGCTACAAGAGCACCTAGACCGGTGAAGCACCCTAAAGGTCCCCTGAAGAAACTCAAATAAACAAAATTGAACGTTGCGTATAAACTGTTTCGTTTTCCTCAAAAAACATCAAAAAGGAATATTTTCTTATCCGTGACTCTCTCGGTCTCATTTCAATCGAATAATCGAATAAGCGAGCGAAAAAACACCCCGAAAGCGGCTCAATGCGCTTAATTTCCAGCGGATTCTAGCTCAGTGGAGAAATTTTCATTTTAATGTCGAGAGTAATCTGGAATGGTAATTTTCTATTTTCATTTGCTATGTCACTGATCTGGCAGAATCTAACTAAATTAATTATAGTGTATAACATATAACCTCCATATATCTGCAACTGGACGAATTGATCTGATGTTTTAATCGAAATAAAAATATTTATTTCATTGATCTCGAACAGGTGTTCTTGCATTGTGTAACAAGGGCGACCTCATAAAATACCTCGCTACAAGAGCACCTAGGCCGGTGAAGAGTCCAGATATTTCAATTAAAACAACTTCATTCGCTTTATAATGTTTATTTTCCTTTGTTATATATTATGTCTACTGGCGAGGAAAATTTTCCCATCGCAAAGCTAGCTCAGGAAGAAGAATGAAATATTTGTCATTTTCGTCCTTGCTGTTCCCGATGTATGTGTGTAAACTGTTTCGTTTTCCTCGAAAAACATAAAGAAGGAATATTTCCCTATTCGTGACCTCATTCACACCAGCAAACAATGCTTGGTTAAACCGGGTTTTACTAAATGAAAATCACAAACAGAGAACTAAAGAGCTCTAATTTCCATAGGATTAAAGTACTCGCTAACTTAATTTTTTTTTATGTGCAACAACTGAAGTCGACAAACATTTTTTGAGTGTCAAGAGTAATCTGTAATCCGGTATTTTTCTATTTTGAGTTTCTATGTGACTGGCCTGGCAAAATCTCACACCACATTCTCGAGCAGTTACCAAGGAATTAAAACTATAATCACGAATAGAATATATTGTGGAAACAAGCAACATTCAAGATGGCGTTGGCACCCAGTACCTGTACTTCGAATGATATATTAAAAAACCTGGCACCAGTCCCTTTCGTTCCAAACGTGCCAATGATAACAAGTCTTCTGATTCACTCATGTTTGTTTTCTGATTATCTTCTGTTTGGTTTTTAACGCATAAGTAAGTTAATTTCTTGGAATACCCTGCGCCCCAAGAGTCATACTAACAGTTCATACTGACTCACCATGTGGTGTACCAGCATTTGAAACGCGTCTTTTCTGATCATACGACAACTAAGTGGGTTTTCAGTGCGAAGTAATTTTATTTCAGCATTTTCTTTGCTTTCTTAATAAGTGCGAAGGCTAAACTAGTTCCCAGTACCTCCTTCCCTAGTATAATTTCAACACGAGTGTAAACAAAATTTTTTGAAATGAATGAACTAAAAACTTTTAACTTTACATACCATAAACCTTGTTCAAAGTATTACAACGGTAGTACAACACCCAGCAACTTATTCATATATTCCCGTTTTCGCCTCTAAAGTGAAGTGAGAACATGACTACTTCTAGCCACAGGCTGTCTGTTGTGTTAATTCTTATAATTAGATGTGAAAAAAACAGCCTTAGAACGAGTGAAAACAAGCTAAGTGTGAGATCTTGATCGTCTTCCCTCAACAGTTTGTGTTTATTCGACTATCAATGTCTATAAAATAGCGAACACTCTAATTATTTCAACGTAGAGTAATATCCAGCTCTGCTTCTAAAGCACTTTACTGTCATGGTGCTGTTACGCTTAAAAGGTGATTTAACTGCACAAACTTATCAATTGATCACTGGCTCGAGTCCTAGCCAATTAATGGCGCCACAGGCAATTACCTGTTTATTCTCCCTCGAAGCCTTTATTTGGGATGCCACGTGACATTCTGTCATGACATCACAAGCATCAGCTGGGAGAGGACCGCAACTTGTGTCGCCAATAACAACTTGGATTAGCCAGGACTCGATACAGAATTTTTATTCCAGAACACGAATATCAGAAATCTTGAACTTGAACATCCCACACTTGCCAAAGGTGGATATCCCGGCAGGCAGCCCGCCGCTCTTTCGTCTCAGACTGACACCGGCTACCGGAGTATTTGGTTGATTTACCATCCAAAAGTGTTCGTCACCGCACAAAGCATTCACGCCATCAAAATGATTGCCTTGAAAAGAACAGGGAGACAAATCTAATGTAGTATTACAGTGTTTAATCATCGGCATGCTTATTGTTATCATCAATAGCTGAACTCTACACAGATGTTTTTCCTGTGTATATTAGCACAGTCTTAAAGATCACACCACGATGATCTATTTTTGTCCAAAACAAATTGATGTAACGGTGAGACTTTGGAGCAAAGGAAACGTCGAGTGTGGTGCGGACACAAGAGTCGTCAAATGACACAACTACAAGTGAAGCAATCACCAAATGCAAACTAGCCCTGTTATCGATGAGTTTTTCAGTGCCGTAACTGTATTCCTTTCCTTATAGAGGTGAGGAGTGAGGGCTTTAAATAGTTTCATATTATATATGACACGGTGAAGTTCCATCGTCATTTTTGAATAGTTTCATAATTTAAATCTGAGAATTAAGGGAAAAACTAACTAAAGGAAATTATTTTAGGCCCATGAGGCACACTTCTTTAAGTGACGTTACCAGTTAACTTTAAATCCCTTACAAGGTTTATTAGATGCGTTTATTACCATTTGGGCCAAGATATTCTTCTTTCCAAAGTTCATCCAAATTAAGGTCGAAATCCGAAACACCGGGATTGAATATACCAGACGCCCTGTAGTGATGAAAGAATTAACCAAGGATTGTTACTTGTCAAATTATTTCTTTTGGCCGAAATAAAAAAGTCACTGCTTTGTTTAAGTAACGATACAACCTGATATGCCCTTGTTTTCCTGCGTTTGACGCCAAAAACGTAAATTGAGTCCTCTATGGCACGTTATTTTTGCTTTTCTCCAGA